GGTTAGTACATTACAGAGATAGGAAAAAGTTATGAGATTCACATGTGTTTCAAGATCCAAATTCCACTGTAATACTGCCATCTGCAAAATTGTACTTGTCAGTTGGGACTATCTCTACTGTATTTTTCTTCTTCAAAGGAGAGAAAAGTGTATATCCTGTTTTTAGGATATACAGCCTAGTTTTTCGCCTTGCCTCTAACAGCATGGAGGGACTGAAAACCTGCCGACACCCAGGATACCCCTCTGGGTGCCCTGGATGGCCCGAGACCCGGGCAGGGGGTTCAGGAGTCCTGGCAGGAAGCCAAAGACACTTGGGATTTCGATCCTAACCCATGGAGCAAATTACCAACCTTGTATGAAGAATCACAAGTCACAAAAGTTTAAGTAGAGTGATAATGAATTAATCACAGGGTGAACAGTGGAATTTTGAGGATTTACTATAGGGGTCTAGGAGGCAAGATGGAGGGATTTGGGCGTTGTCCTGTCCTTCTTCCTTCTTCTCTCTAGCCTCCATCTTCTGGCTGATGTTGGCACATTTGGATTGGGTTAGAATAGAAGTAGACAGTCTAACATAGATGATAGGCATTAGAAGATAATGATAAATAAAGTACACTAGTTCATAGTATAAGATGTTGACACCAGCTCAGGGGCGGGCAGAGTGTGCCCTTGACAGACCTACTAGACAGAGCTCTGTGGGTCCGAAAAAGAATGTTTTAGATAAGAGACAATAAACAACTTTGTGAACCAGAGCCAAAGAATTCCGACTCTTTCTTCAACCATCAGTCTGGGAAAAAAGGACTCGTGGGGTCATCCTGACTGCAGGGAACCTGAGAAAAACCCACAAGACTTAACCAGTTGGATATTCTGGAGAAAAAAGCAGTTGACATCAAGGCATTGAATCTGGCATCTAAATCATCTACCTCTGCAATATTGGGGGCAGTATAGGAGGTAGAACTGGCTCAGCAGCAGAAATTTCTACTTGGCTATTATCCATCAGTAATCTCTGCTGGGGGTCAGGAGTCAATCTGAATAGACAAACCTTCAGAAACAGGGACATGAAATGAAGTCCTTTTCTAATTTAATCTGGCATCAGTAAGAAGCACATCCAAAAATCCAGCTTGAAAGCTTCACTAGTGCTCCAAGCCTGAAAGCTGTGCAATAGTTTTAAGAAAAGAAAAACATTTGGAATATGCTAATTGCATCATATCTCTGGAAGGTTTTGAAAAATCAGATTCACCAAGTAGTCTGAACTCTAAACAAGAACTCTTAATCTGTTTAGGCTTCCATTTTAAACTTTCTTCCACCCACAGAAACCCATACCATCTCCTCTAGCATCATTCTTTTACTTAATTATTTTCTATAGATATCGATGTGACTTAATACTTTGATCTTATTTTCCTTTGCTTCTGACCTGACCATTACATTTATACCCATGTGAAGTTTGTAACTACAACTGACAATGCCAGTTCTCTTTGCTATTAAATATCATTAGGCCTGCTGTAGTCAAGATGATCAATATTATAGCAAAAGAATATTAAACACAGTAGTCCATCAGAGGAGAAACACTCCTTTTTTTTTTTTTTTTTCCCATCTCTCTTCTTTCTACCAGAATATTATGAAGCATCCACCTCAGAATATTCTGTGATTCAGAAGAATGAACAAATCTTTACTTGTGTTTCAGAATTTTTACTTTTTTTTCACTTGGGAATGAGATGGACAGTAAGTTAAGAGTAAAATTTTAAAAGCTCCTCAGAGTACATACATGCAAGTAGAACATGAGACGTGGACTTGCTAAACCAACATCTACCTGCACTGACCTAGATAGGTGATTACTAGTTTCAGGGTAGACTCAATTTGCAGGAAATCTGACTGTCTACAGGGTTTTCCCTTGCAGGGCTGCTCTCAGAAGTGGAGATATGTCTGAATTCTGAAATATTGCACTTAGGAGCCCGAGGGCATGTTTAAAATAGCTTTAGAGTATTATTAGCATTTCATTTTTACAGATGACATGGAAGAAGAGGGAATAGATTGCAAGAAAATTATCTTCTTCAGCAAGCTCCATGACTGGATTTACAGAGGCAGTACAGCTGCCTACAGGTGCAGAGAGGTATCTGGGGGAAATTCCAAAACTCCTCAGTGAGCAATGTGCCTAATGTCAATCACCTCTGAAAAGAGTGAAATTCCAGACCTGTTCAAATGCTTTTACAACACCAGCAAAGAACTCGTCTGCACTGCTAGACATCTAATTACCTCTACAAGATGCCCCCCAATTAGCAGCAGCTGGCCAGCAAAAGGGATGAAGTGTTCGGCATTTTATTAAATATGTTCTGATTCTGAGCTAGGAAAGGTTTTGCTTTTCTGGCTGTAGCTCTGACTCAAGTTACTCTGGCCAGGTAATCTCCTCTCTCAGTAAGACACCACAGAACAATAGTAAACAAGGTGAGTGGCAGGCTCCATGGAAGGATTATTTATTTACACGGTGACATGGTGTGTGTCTTCCTGCAGTGATGCCACCATGTAATTTGCTTAAGTCCTTCCCTATCACCAGCCACCCCTGAGGGCGACAGGATGATGTTCTCTGAGGTGTTGGCAGTAAAAAGCTCCCTGAAAGAGGGAGCTTTTAATGAGGTGGTGCAAGGCAAATAGGGCTGCTGCCTATCACACAAACTATCACTGCAGACACTTTTTCCTCTGTTACATTCTAGAGAACACTGAGAAAATTATATTTACTAACAGAAATGAAAAGAGCCTAATTACAATGATTTTTAAAGAGACAGTTAAAGGATGCGTGTCAAAAGGGACTGATATATAATTATGATAATATCAGTTGCAACTCCTGTGCTGTCTAATTACTTGAAATGGGTGGCATTGTGCAATTTTTTTGAAAGCGAGCCACTCTGAAAACAAAATTATATAATCATATTATGAAATTACAGTAAAACTGAAAGAAAAGTAAAATTAATATATTGGTAGGAGTAATAACCAAAGAGGCAGCACTAAATGTGCTGGAAAGACAGAACAAACAGAAACCCACCAACTGCCTCCAACCTCAAATCTGTGCTACACATTTGACTCACACTTGTGTCAGAAACGGAGATGCTGCACATGCTGCCTACACTGGCAGTCAAAATCAAGACATATTTACATGACAAGAAAAGAGTTGTAAGAAGTGGAAGAAGAAAGGAGCAAAAAGAGGAAATATTTTAAAAAATGGGAAAAAGCATAAACCTAGCAATCACAGTGCTGAACTCTGCTGGAGTTTTGAGAGTCTCCATGCCCTGGCTTTGTTCTGGATTCTCTGAGGTACCCCAAACACCCAGCCTGCTGAGCATGCTGGACCCTGTTAGATTTGGGCACTTGGACATCTTCAAGGGATGAGGTTTTTCTCTTTTTGTTTCACACTGGCTGTATTACACTGATAAATCTGTCCACAGTATTTGATATAAATGAAATATTAAAGTTATTTCTTAAATTTAGTATACATTTTGTTTGTCATGGATGTATTAAAGTTATACTATAATATAATGCCATTTGTTGACAAATGACCTGGGCACTGAAAAGCTCTATTTCATTAGAAATTAAAATAGTAGCACATTCATATGCAAGCCCATAGATCTGCTGGCAAGTCCATGATCCTAATTATGGTGTAGCCTAGAAAAATCAACCATTGTTTGAACAGTGACATCAAGAGATTGTAGGTTAACAGTGGTTTCCAGATTTTTGTGGCCATCATGAGGAAACATGAAAAGTTTCATGGATTTTCACAGATACTGCATTGCCATCAATCTAGTGGTGGAAAGTTAAGACTGAATAAAATGTTTAATATTATGCTATTGATATCTGGAGGTCATTTATCTAATGAACTGCAGTTTGGATCACTTCCTTAAGCTCTCATCATCTCATTTAATAGCGTCTCATTTAAAAGACACAATGTCATTTATTAGCAAAATTTACATATCTTTTCTAAAATTTTAAAACAGTAAAAGTAGACTAGCAGTTGGCTAGATCCACTCATTTACTGCAAGCTGGGTAAATACTCTTCTCTATATACTGCAATCTGTTCCCGTGAGACGCTACAGAAGTGAAAGGATCTGACCTAACTTCCCGTTTTTTTCAAATTCCGTGTTATCATCTAATCTTGTCCCTTTCTGGTACAAGAACAAAACCATGAAGTACTTTTATAGCATATGTGTGTTTTCACTGCTAAATTTTTTCTTAAAGAAAAGTGCATGTTTGAAACTCTTCCTCTGAGCTGTTATCTCACAACCACTTACCACTGGTCTGTACAGACCCCTGCAATGGCTGCATGCTGTTTATTCAATAGCATTGAATAGAATTGATGATAGTTCTCTGAGCAGGGCCTTCCAAAGTAGTTCTACTGAAGTTCTTCCTTCATCCTAGCAGCTGCCTGGCCTCTGGGGCTGAGGTGACTCTGTTCTACACACCGTTGCTTGGCCAAGTCTGAAATTTGCTGACTTACCTTTAATGCCCAACTAAATCAATATTTTAAATCTCTGCTGAAGATTGACTTTCGTTCATTTTGATAGCATTCATTTTGAATATGAAGAAGACAAAGGGAAATCTGAGTTTTTCTAGGTGATCATGGTTTTCACTGAAAAATCTCTCTACTTACAAGAAACTCAGATCTAAGCAATTTGAGAAGAAGAATAAATCATGTTTCAACTTGCAATAATTTTATATGTCATTTTTTAAAATTATGATGATTCAGTGTAGGATATGTTAAAAATCTTATTCAGTTTGCAAGGAGCACGGCTGAAGTGATTAACATGCAAGACAGTAAATGTTTTTTCCACTAAGGAATTCTACGTCGTGGGATTGAAGTGTGAAAAATATAGAAGACTTATCTTCCAGAAACCTACCATCTTACAAAACAGAAAAGAATCCCAAGCAACACCCAGCAACAAGAAATAAGCCAACAAAAAATCCAGAAGCAGAGCAGCCTCAGCTGCATTTCTGGCATTTACCAGATGCTTTCTTACCTTCACTGCAAACTCTGTTTCTGTAGCTTTATGAACGCATCTCTTGCACACTGCATAGGAGCCAATTCCTATGTCTTCCTTGATCTCGTATCCATCAGTAAAATGAATGTTGTTCCCATGTAACTGCTACAGGGAGACAAAAGAAACAAGGTAATCAGGACATGGACATGTAAAAGCAAGGACTAGCCTCCTCTTGAAGGAGATCCTTGATCTCCTTTCCTTCACAGAGCTCTCTTGTCCATACAGCTTTTCTAAATCCAGTTTAAAAATTCTGAAGCTCTTTACATAAACAAGTAAATGTGTCTTTTCCCTGTCTACCTTTTTCCAGTAATTAAGATGGAATTGTCTATGTAGAAGCAGTGGCAAAACTGCTGTGATTTTCTAAACTATTTCTGGAATGCAGAAAATCACCATATATTAGAAATTCATAGGAAACTGTGGGCTCAAATCTCTGACAAACCCACATATCTTGACAATATAAACTGATTTCTAATTACAGAAAGGGAAGGCAGATAACATATAAAGTACTAATAGTTTCATAGTGTTCAACGAGAGATACCCCATATATGAAGAATGCCTCCAGATCATTTGAGATCTTGTCTAGAACATGTTTATCTGCAGTTTATTTGTGAGAGAGAAGTTAATATTTTAAGCCATTAATTCATATGCTCTTTGGAAAATGTCTGGGCAGGTAGACCGATTCAATGGTGAACCCCAAATCTGAGGCTTTGCTGCAAATTCCATCCCAGGACTCAAGAAACAACCAGCACCTCTAAAAATCCTCCAGAATCCTCTATCTAAAAATGCAGCCTTGCTAGCAAAGTCCACACAGAACCTGCTAAATTATAAGATGTGCATATGTCAATATTCAATACAGTTTTGTAAAGCAAATCACAGGAATATATATAACATTTCTGAGATGCAATGGCTTGGATAACATTTCAATTGCTGTGCCATAAGAGCATCTTTAAGAGTATGACACATTCCACTGTAAATAATTAAAACAGAGATGAAAACCTAAGAAAACCACAGGGTCTCCCCTCCTTGAGGCATGTACACGTGTGGCTGTGGGTAGCAGAAGGAGCTTTTTCCTACTGAGAAAACTGGCTGCATCTTTAGGCAGCCGAATTCTTTCTCCTTGTTCTCTTCTCTGATGTATCAAACCTGTTGTAGCAATTTATTTCTGGTTTAAAGTACAGCTGGATAGATTTTTTTTTAGGAGAATGGCAGCAAAGAACCAAGTGTCTGGCATGTTCCTCCATCAAGCAACTTGGTTTAGGTGAGTACATGCAGGCTTTTTTGCAACAGCAACAGAAGTAGAGTGGCCTCTTACACCCAGGAGTTTGTGCTCTCTGTCTCTGGGAGCCTATAGCAGTGGTTCATCAAACCCCTTTGCCAGCACAGACTGGGTCATATAATCCAAGACAAAACTGTTGGGAATGAAATACATTCAGTGAAAAACCAGTATTTCATTACCTGCCTTGCATGTACAACTGGAATCCTGTTTCAGGTATCGAGAAGTACTTTACATTTTAGTTGTGACAAAGTGCAGTTCCTATTTTCTTTGCAAAGGTGGTGAGGAACGTTTTATATATAAAAGCCTTTGCAAAAAAATTCTCATTTTCCAACACCTACTTGCTGCATGTGAAACACCTCCTTCCTACACTAGGTAGCTGTGCAATACCAGTGAGAACATTAGGCAGTTTAAATACACACATACGTATGCACACATCAGATGTGAAAGGCAACCAGCATCGGTACCTGCACAATTGGGTGAACAGTGATTTTGTGCACATCTTGCTGTGCAGGCTCCTGCACCAAGTTAGAGGCAACAAAGCTGAACCCTCTGAAAAGATGATGAGCATTGGCACTTGGAGGAACACCTGGGGAATCTGTAGGAGAAGGAAGAAAATTGCCTTATGAGCTGCACAAAAGAACAGAAAGGAATAGCATGGCACTACAAAAGACAAAGTCACCTCTGCCAGTCAACAGCAGATCTGATAAACTGGCAGACACAGGGGAATATAATTCGTCTCCATGTTGAGGCTTTGGTGTGCCTTCTCCATTCCTTTTCTCTGGGTTTGAACAATGCAGGGGTATTGTTTGCAAGGATGCCACCTCTTGGATACAGGATTTTTTCACAGGACATTCTTAGGCAAAGTACTGCCTGTGCCAAGAGTGCACAGAGAGAAGGCACAGGGCAGAGAGGCTCGGTGAGAGACAGGAGACTCAGGGCAGGGCACCTTGCAGGGCTTATCAGAGGTTCTCCAGGGAGTGGAAAAAAGCTACAGGCTGCTATATATTTGTCCTTTACAACACAACTTAACTACAGAAATTACAAAGACTGAAGTGGCAAATTGTGTGGGTCAGGAGAACACAGAGAATGTGTAAAAGCACAATACTCCAGTAGTGGCCTTATAGGAATCTTCTGGAGCAGCTTTAGGAGTTGGGATCTACTCCAGGGAATACAGTGGTTGACTTATCCTCACATGGAAAAAACAAAAAAGGATTGTTTTAACTAACCTTCATGTAGATTTTCTCCCCATCCTTCCCCTGACATGGCAAAAGGAGAGAAGGAATGGCTAAAGTTCAAAAAATCCTGAATTAGAAATTCTGCCTTTGGAAGGCAATAAGCTGAGAGCAGTTCTTTGTACCTGCACCACTGCTCAGTCACAGAAGCAGCATGACGAAGCAAGCAGACCTGTGCTTCACTTAAAATTCTGAAAAGCTTTAAAGAGATCTTTCTGCCCAGTGTATGTTTTATCCCAGGTATTTTCCTCAGCAAGAAGAATCATGTTGTAAACCATTCCTTGGCAACAGGCTGTGTATTATAAAACTTATATTACTAAAATTTGCTAACCTTTTATTTTTTTTTTTTTTTTGGGGGGGGGCGGCTTGTGGGGTTTTTTTTTCTCTTTTTCCCTTCACATTTCCTCCAATGCACCATGTGATTTACTGACAAATTTACAGAGCTAAACTTTCTTTAGAAAGCTATTTCCTTGTAGTAAAGTGTGTGAATAGCCAGTTATCTAAAGAAAACACATCCCCACTGAGCTTTATATCTGATTCACCTGCTTGAGGCCCTGAAAATATGTAAGAATGTGTACTTCTTAGCATGCACACACCCTGTATAAATCTACTGGTCAAATGAATAGAGAAACTGAAGTCAAAATTTGATAAAACCACTATATATCTACTTGAGAATAAACAAAACTGAGACTTCAGCTAATTCTATTTCTCACCACAAAGCTGCCTCTGCTTTGACAGGAGTCAGGAGTCAGTGTATTCTTGTTGCACAGCAAGCAGAGCTCAGATGGAGAAGATTGTCTTTTGGTAAAATTATGTGGAGCTTTTATTTACATCAGTGCTTTGGACAGGTAATATCCTTGTAAATATGGGGATGAATCACACCAGACCTCTTGCATCACTGGATACGTCCTACCATGGCATATCTACAACAGGGATTTTTACACGAGGGATTAATTAAGAGGAAAGAATGTTTGTTTAAAAAAAAGGAATGACAATAATTCACATTTGAACACTTCTGAACCTCAGAAAAGCTGTGATCCAGCTCTAAAACGAAAGTGGCAGTTCAGCTCTGTTTAATAAAACCTCTTCCTTCATAATTCACAGCCAGTTGCTTCAGTAAATACTGCAGAAGAACTATTGATGATTTGATGTTCACTATTAAATATTCATCACCAACAACTGATTTGCCCATTAAAATATGTCAGCTAAGTGCAAAATTATGCATAAATCATGTTAATTAACTGATAGCTCAGAAACCTAAATCACTTTTCCAGGCCTTATAAATCAGAATAATTTCATATATCTGAATTAGATCCACTTAGAAGCACCAATCTTATTTAATGGTTATCTTTCTTCCTGTGAAAAGTAATAATGCTTTGTTCCACTAGAGCACCTAAATTTAAGAGTTTTCAAAGGCTTAATAACTCTTATTTCCTTCATCATGTTTCACAGGGGTTAGCAAACACCTTATTTGCAAAGGAGGATATTTAGATATTTCAGGTGAAATTTTAAATACTTTTTTTACAGCAGTAAAACCAGTCTAAAACATCCCTGCTGGTTACAGCCTGCTGTCCCATCAATTACAACAGTACAAACATTTGCAGACTGAAGTCTAAGTTGGGTCACAAGGATGATCTTGGTTCGATCCTTGTTCAAATCACCATTTCTAACCTAGACTGCTTCAGCCTCCAGTTCCCTGTAAAGAGCTGAGTCGCCACAAATGAGATGTGGGGCCACAGTGGTAAATTTAGGAAGCAAATGGCCAAAAAAGCAACTCCAACTTGGACAAATTTCTGAGAAAAAGTGATGTGAAACTATACCCACATAAATGATCTGTCAGTGTCAGAAACCACATATTTGGCACACTTAGATCTGAAGTTAAAAATCCACAGAATGTGGTTTCAGCCTCCAGGATAAAGGAAGTTTCTGACGTACAGCAAATCACTGGACTGAAAAGATTTACTGGATCCACAACTTTGATATAAACCTGCTTTCAGACAGGAGAACTCATTCATAAAGAAAGTGTAAAATTACTGTATGTTTCTGTATCCACTCCTTGGTAGTGACTGTCAGCTTCATTAAAACACAACTGCATGATCATGAAGCAGGAATTATTACAATGCTTTCTATCTGAGGATGTTCTCAGTAACAGGGATAGTTTATTTGTTAGCTTTATTTTGTCCTGATAGACAAAATAAATTTAAAAAAAAAGGCTATTGCTCTATTCCATTGGCAATGTGAGCCATTATTAAACACATTTGTGACACTCTTCCCAGTTTGTTTGACCCAGCCAGTCAACAGTCAGGGGATGCAAAATATTCTACCAGTCTGCAAGGGCTATTCCATCTTTCTGAAAGTGTAAATGGATTCACACTTCCAATTACACCTATTTTGAAATGTTTGATTCTCAGGCCACTATCCATGGTAGCCCAAAGCAGAATTGAGGCAGGCCATCTCCCCACCCCTGCCACCACCCCAAAACAAACCTTCCAAGTCAGCGTCTTGTAGAAAATAGCAAATTTAATTAGGCAACAGCAGTAACATGTAGAGTGTAATTTATAGCCCCAGGCATCAGTAAAAGCAATTAAGTGTGAACTTCCAAAGCGATCCAAACTTTTAATGCTTCTTTGCATTTCAGTGAAACGTCCCCTGGCAGCACCAGGGCACACATCCCTGAAGACCAGACTAACTTGCAGTCTCCAATATTTCAGAGAAATTAGTGCTCCTGAAATCTAAATTAAAGCTAAAATTGGATGTGTGAAATGTCTGGAAACCAAAGATCCTATTTCTGTGCAGTGGAATAGGAGTATCAGGACATGACCAACATATAACTGGGGACAGATGGATGTTCCAGTTGAAAAAATAAGAATTTAATATTTTTATTGTTCATAAAAGTCAGCACATCCTTGAAAAAAAAAAAAAAAAAGGAACTGACTAAAGAAAGATTTGGAATAGATACGCTTATTTCAAACCCCATGAAAGGAAATTTGAGCCAGGCTTTGAATAGAAGTTTGGGCTAGTTTTAAGAAAACATGGTGCAGGTCATGATAAGTCTGAACAAAAACTGCAGGAAATCTCAGCCCTGATTCATGTGTTAAAATGTAGGTGTTTTCATAATGAAAGCTCAGATCTTTCCCTCTCTGCAACAGTTCTGGGACAATTTGAGGATTGAAGCTGAGACCTTATACTTGATTATTACCATGATACTATATGACATTTACAGTGCTAACCGTCTTCAAAGTGTTTTACAAACAAAAACTAATTCAATTTTTACACTTTAGAAAGCATAAACAGGTAAAGGCAGAAATGTAATGTGACTTACCCATGTATAGCAGGAGGCAACATTATAAGTGGGATTACCACTCTGACATTATTGATATTTTTGCTTTACACTTAAAAGAATGTAAAGATTGAATTTTATGCAACAGTCACCTTCATATATACAGTGTACAAAGCATGGTATTTCTGTTAGGAAACATAAGTTACAGGAACAACATTCTATCTGCAAGCACTTTCTAAATATTGTGGGCGAAATTTCCTGTTGGCATAACTCTGCTGACCTGAGAACTAGATTATTCTTCATTGCTTTTAACCACACATTAACTTCCAATAGTCCACAGTCTGTGAGATGTCATAATTAAATAAAACATCTATGCAATATATAATTACATACTAACTTGCAGAGATACAAGGTTCTTTGAAGCCAAGGTAATTTAAAATAGTTAATAATTTAAAATAAACTCAGCTAGTGTAACCAAAAATGAGTAATAAAATAGCAAGACAATAGTTATTTTATCCTTTAAAAAATGTGAAATCTCTTCTTCCTGAAGACAAGTTAATATGAAGCTGGTGAAATACTTATGAGCTTCTTTTGCTGGAAAAGCAAAACCAATCATTGCTTCCTGATGGATATGGCAAAACCCTGTAATGCCACAGGTGATCAGACTTTTAGACTGTGCTGGAATAGAGAGGGGAAAGGAAGAATGAATTTACTAACTGAAAAGATATATTACCTATGTGCCACCTTACTAACCTGTAGGGGTTCGAGATGTGAACTCTGGATCAAAATGAAAGGTGTCTTCTGGCCGCCCCACTGCGGGCTTGAAAGGTGGCTTGATTTCTTTTCTGTACAGTTTCTACAAGGAGAGAAACCAACCACAATCAGCATCAATGTGTACACTCTCAGCATCTGGAGATAGACTCCCCTGCTTTCTTTAGTCTATCTTTAGATAGACTCCCCTGCTTTCCTCTCTCAGCTCCATGCTATCCTTGCTGGACTGACAGAGAAGGATGATGTAGCTGTGGTTCTGGCTCTTGCTTTACCGCTCAGCTTAAAATCTGTGCCCTGGATGGTCCCCACGCATTTTAGCTATTGGAATCCTGAATATAAACACAAATGTTCCTGGCAAAAATTTAGCCCATAGGCTGGAACAGTATTCCAAGCTGGGGCATCTGGAAATTCACTGGTCTAAGGGTAGGACTGGAATGTGCAATGGTAAGACCAGGAAAGAGGGTAACTTCAGCAGCACAGCAATGACAATCAGCACAAAGAATTTCTAGGAAGCCATGACTGCTTTAGCATTTATTATTTGTCATGAACCAGCAATGTGTTTGACATGCTGCCAGACTGAGCTGAGCAACAGGCTTGGCTGCCTGGTCCTTACAAGCTAAACAAGAGACTTGGTCTCTTAGCATATCTGGTAAAAGGGAAGGGGGTTTACAGCTGATGATTACATGAAATTTTCATCAAAAATGCTAGGGAGAAAGCACTGTGGATGGGTGAGCAATCAGATTGAAGCTCTACATGTGGCTTGAACTGAGGAACAAAACAAAGAAAAAACATAAGATAGGAAGGCATATAACAGGTAAGTACTTCTCGGTGTGCAAGTTTCTGCTGGTGACTGAGGGGTCATGTAGGGGATCACCTGGGCAACAGGCACCACAAGTTCATCCTAATACATCCTGCCTTTATTATGAGGGACATTGTGGCCATTTTACTCATTCTCAGAGATCCTTAAGAAATTGCTAGTCCATGCTCCATTGCAAGCATTCATATACACACAGACAAGCACACTGAGGTGAGGATGTCTGGATCTGATCCAAAGCTTGTAGAGGTTAATGGAAAGAGCCCTATTGATTTCAGCCATCTTTGCATCGTCTCTGCCTGAAATGGCCAAACCCAAACATCATGCTGATGGCAGCATGGGGAACAGAGCTCCAGTTTGACTCCCTGCTCCATGTTGCAGTCCCTAGAATGCAATTCCTTTCTAGCAATGCTTTTGTTGTCAGGTTTCAAAGGGCTAAATTAGTTGCCACAGACAGTACCCCAAAATTAACATGTCTGAGCATAAATACAACATTTAATGCAAATTTCAAGTCATAAGAACTGGAGAGTTCAACTTTATGACTGTTTGCAATATGTATTTTTAGGTTAGCTCTTAAAACAACTTCCTAATGAGCTGATTTTTCAAAATGCTTAATGGACATTACTAAATGCTTTTCCAGATCCCTGCATGCAGGAAGATTCTTTTTAACTGTGTGTTTTCGGGGGAATTAACTTCTGTAACACAAACCATGTGGTCAAATCTAAGATATATACATATCACCATAGTTTGAATTTGATTTTGCATAAAGGTTCATGATTTTGCATAAATAAAGGTTCTTGAAGGAGAACATTCTGTAGCACAGTATTAGCCTTAACATAAAGGATATATTTGTGGTAGAGTTATGATTCCTTGGGAAAGTGAAACAGTGAAGTTGAAAATGACTCTACAATGATTAATGGCCATTTCACCATAAAAAGTTCCTGCTTGCATAAAACTGCTTCATCTCTTTGGAGAGGAAAGGAGATGAATAACTGCTGTGAGCCACAATGGAAAGCCAGTCTTTCAAATAATTAAAAGCCAATTGCAATCTTATGCAGGAAGTGTCACTCATCAGCTGAAAAGTATCAACCTAGTAATTAGCATACATCTTTTTCTGTCTGCACAGAATTTTACAAGAGAACTCAGCACCTACTGGAGGCTTTTCTGTTGTTAGAATTTCACCTTGAGAAAACTATTTGCTTCCCAGCTCTCCTTTATTTGTCTTAATTCACAACTGCAATGTTTTTGCTGCAGAAAGCAATATGGTCACATGCACATGCCTCCTCATGGAATTAACTGCACAGCTTATCCTGTGAGGCCCAAAAATTGGAAAATGTTTCAGAGCTGTACATCATTCAGTAATTGCACTCTCTTTTCATTATTGTAATCATATTCTCTCTGGCCTCTTAATTCTTTCCCCCATCTGTAGTTTCTTAAGTGCTGCTGGAGCTACATTTGTATTTTGAATCTGTAACCCACATCCTCCACTACCAGGGAGGGATTTAAGATTCATCATGAGTCATGCGCCACCAAGAGATTTATAATCACAAATTTGCTTTCTGGGAGGGGATGGAAACAAAGAAGTTGCCTGTGTGAATGAAAGGCACTCCATTTGAGCACAACCTGATAACTCCCTTTTCCATTTCCTTGCCCAATTGTGATAAAAATTAGACAACAGAACAGCAAAAGGTAAGCTGCCTAAAACATTTTTCCCCCCAAGCTCCTGAATAGGGTAACTAAATGAAATCATTGAGGACCAGGAAAAGCAGAGTAGCATAATCTATGGACTTCTCCATCCCACACTGGCTCCAGTTCTGTAAGTAAGCCATCCAAGCCAAACCACTGAGCAGCCCAACACAATTAAACACGAAGGCCTGCTGCAGGCAGAACACCTCTTCCTTTAAAAACCTGCGTCCTGTAGACAGCAAAACTCAATGTGGCACAAGCTGATCTAAAAAAATAGTAAGAATCACAGCCATTGCTTCATATACACATAGAGAGAGAATCTCCTGGAAGATTTGAGATCCTTCTGGATTTTTCAAGAATATTTCTAATTTTAGGAAATGTATGACTATATTATCTCTTACCATGGTTCCCAAATTATTCAGAGATGATGCATCTTGACCGTGACCTCTTCTGACAGAAACCAACCAGAGGTGGGAAATGACAGCAAGTTAAATTTCAAATCTTGCCTTCGACCATTTCTATCAGACTGTCCATAACTTCTGATGAAATTTAAGCAGTTATGCATTTTCTAAGTCTACTTTCTAAGGTAATCTTAGTACTGTATGCAAAAGTTACAGTGAGTTCCATTATCTGTTTAAATGGGAACAGGGTCCCAGTTTTCTCAGTTTAAATTCCAGTTCTGATATTCCAAAGTTTTCTTTTGGAGAATCTTATTAGGCATTTAAAATAGACTTTGGATATCATAGTGATAACTGGAGCATCTACATTTTAGGCTGAAATTATACATTATACATTATATGTTTGTTATCTTACACAGGTATAAGAAGCTGAGGATGTTTTTTTTCTTTCACATTGTTCCCACAGCCATAAGGGAGAAATGCACTCCTTAGCCCTTAATGTTTTAATGAGAATACTATTTATTTATCTTTCCCAGTAAAGAATAAGCTCCCACATTCCATCACCAATTTTTTCTAAAATGGCCACAGCATTGACTCAGCACAGCAAAATGTGACTGACAGGTATGAAGAATCACTGTAAAACACACAGTGTTGTCAGATCCAGAGGCTGTGCTGAGGGAGTGCATAATCCACAGAACAAGGCAGATGGACTCCATGAAAACACTGATTTAGATATTCAGACCTGCATACATATCCATGCTCCTGACTTATTTATCAACCCCTCATGTCCTCCTGAGACTTTCATAATAAGGACCTATGAATTAACTAGAAACCATTTCTATAGCAGTTTAAGAAACTACAAGCTTCTACTGATTTTCCTTCTGATTTCAGACAAAAATGCTTTTATTTGAAATAATTAATTTTCATCCAAGTGCCAATGACCTTTTCTAAAAATATGTTGCCATATCCCTAGTATGATCTTCATCTGAACACCTCCTCAGTTGGAATTCAAGTAATACACAAGAGAGACTAGTAATAAAATGCTGCAACACTGTGTTTCCTTCTCTTTTTATCTATAAGTAGTTAATTTTTCATTATCTTTAAAAAAACACATTTCTAAAAATCCCAGAGATGTAAATGCTCTGTACATGTGCTTGACAAATATCAATAAAAAGAAAATGGTTTGATTTCATTAAAAACTATTTAATCATTTCCTCAACTGAGTTTCTTTGATGAAGAACTGAATTATTCCTTAGACACCTTCTAGAAATAGAAAGATGCTACCCTCCACCATGGTGCATTTGTAGCGTGGGAAAAAACTTCCTTGATACATATACCTGTCATGGCAAATCCAATAAGCAGACAAAAGGATAAACTACATTCTGAAATGCTCTCTATGTCCTCTCCTAGATTAATGACTCAGTGTTATTGCCTGCAAATGACGGAAAGGCTAGCAGAATTCAGACCCTAGGATTAATTTTTTGCTGTTGGTAAAATCAGCAATGAAATAATTCACAGTTTCAGTTCAGTTTGATCTCTGATTAATATTAAAGGAAAAAGAACTGGAATCCACTTTCTTCCCACTCCTTTCCTCAGCTGTATTTGACAGATCATTTTCAAGCATGTAATTTGCTCTAGCTCCAATTTAGTCTGTCATCCAAACAAAAACTACTGTTTATCGCCCACTCTTCTGACAGCAGTCTGCAGAAAGGGACTGCATTTTTCATTTTCAATGAAAAGCCAGAAATTATGCATGACCTGGAAAGAAGAAACAGTAGTAAAAAAATCAGGAACCAGACTGTGCTTTCTCAGAGCCAATGACTTAAATTATTCGACGTCAACTTGTTTTGGGTCTGCTTATCTTAAGAAGAAAAGGAGGTGCAAGGTTAATAAGCAGGTAGAACTGTCAAGGATCTGGACATCTAATCTCCTGAGCATCCCAGCCTTCATCATGACAGACAGTCCATCCATTTAACAACAGAACTATTGAATTTACATCATGGGGCTGCTAAATGCCTCAGAGCAGCAAGACTGGTATTTGCAGAAACCTCCAGCTATTTTTCACTCTGGAAAGTGGGAACTTAGGGCTTTGCTACAGGGTAGCAGCTGTAAAAATGTGAGTCTTAGAAAGTCTCATGCCACCATTTAAGTCTGGGCAAAAAGCTGTGTCAGATTGTCCATTCAGTGCAGTTCATTTAGTGCAGAAGTTAGCCATAAGTTACACCTAAGGTGGCTGGTCATTTTGCTGAAGGATTCCCTGGAACATGGGAATGGCTTCTGGGAAAGGCTGCGAGGAGGAGGGTTCTCTGGCCACATGGATGTTTTCCAGGATTGCCCTTAGTGACTCTGCATATAGTGGTCGCATGTTACCAGCACACTGTGCTTGGCAGCAGCATCTGCAGCATCGTGACAGGGGCTGTTCCTGCACTGTGTGTGCTATTTCCACTGGGTGTTCATCCAAACCAGACATTGTATCTGGTTGTGTCTGTTTGAAGACAGAAAAAGATGGGAAATGACTGCCCCAACAGGTAGGGACAACTTCAGGGACAGAGAAAATAACCAGTTCCAATCCAAACCCCAAGGGAACAGCTCTGAAAATACTGTAAAAAGAAAGCCAGAGTCACAGGGTTCCATTTGCAGTTCTAGTATCACTGAAACATCAAGACTTCACACGTGACTTAGAAGGAAAAAGCTAACTCATTTCTGTTTTGCAACTCTCTTTAAAATTAAATGATGCAACTTGGTGTTTTGTTCCTGGTTATCATGTCACTCTTGTAGGAAAAATCATGCTTAAAAGCAAACCTGTTTCACGTTGCATTTCTAGGAGACACTAACCCATTCTTACCCTTCACGATAGGGGGTTTTTGATGGAGGATTATTTTTACTACAGTTGCTGAAATTTTCTGTGCTGTCAGTCACAACAGTCCTGTCTATCATAGCTGCTAAGGTAGCACAGAAGTTCTCCAAAAGACCTTGCCTCTTGCTCTCTGAGGTCTTTATATTGCCAAGGCATAAAGTAAATAATAATTTCTGTTCCATCTCAACAGTGCTGTTTGTTGACTGTCTGCAGACTGATGTGGGAGATTCTGTATACATTATGGGAGAACAAAATAAGGGCACCAGGGACTCTTTTCCTCCAACTGTACAGAGATCAGTGCTATAGATAGTAACATCTATGTCTGATCCATTTCTGTTCTCTGACCCTGTTCTGTGTCTGTCCATGGAGAACATGTTAACAACTGGCTGGATGATTATTGAGAGCCAAAGTTCTGGCTTCAGCTAAGGGCCAGGTTCGCTGCTCTGAAATACATACAGTAATGTATCTCCTGGAACAAGATATGCCTCCCAAGATCTTGAGTGATTGCAAAATTAGGATAAAATGAGGAAATATATTACAAAGATGATAGCTGATCAGTGTAATAATGATCTGTCTCTGAGAGAGTACAATGAGCACTAATTATGTTGGATTAAAATTGATTTTAACAGCTATATTTCACAGCAGAGTTAGAGGGCTGGAAACACATCAAAGAGCAATTAAATCCACCTTGTCTCTAGCCCCAAGGCATGTTCAAGCATACCTATCTTCTTTGAGGTAGATATTTCCCTGCCTGTAAGAGCTTTTTCAAATGATGGAGGACAGTAGAATTTTCTTAGGACAGGCATGAAATTGCTCCCTAAAGAACAGAGCTTGAAACAATCACCAATTATCATGACAGAAGGCGGTCTTGAGTATTCTCATGGGACAGAACTGACTTTTCTGAAAACCTTTCCAAGATGCAGAGCCTCATTTATTTATGATGAGTTAGTGAGCTGCTCCCCTAGCAAACACAGAAGAAAAACCCTCTCACTGCTACAGTATCATGATGTAGTTATATTTTGATTGCAAAGCTGAGGACTGTGGAGATATTGGGGGAATACAGAAAATAATATTGTTAGTGATATTAATATTAGGATTTATCATCATCATCAACAACCCAAGTCTTTGGATTCTCTGTTTTTTAAAATTTCACTTACTGTTTTCATAAATGTAAAGTCTTCATACAGAATCTCATGATTAGTAAGAAGCAGAAAAGGAAAGACACACAGACTTCACAACATATTTAATGGCTCTAAATGTCAGCTGGACTATAAAGGAAAGTCTCAAAACCCACCTTCATTAATTATGTTTTAATATGCTTATGAGTCATGACAACTCTACAACATGCAACCCAAATTAGATTATTCTAATGAGTTTTTCCAAAATAAATGGGTTTGTGGGCCTTTCAAAGGCTACCTGGGCATCATGAGATGTTCTCTCACAGAGGAATTAGCTTTACTGCAAAGTCCTAGGCAGCAGTTTGAGAATGGCTCTGTCACATAGATTCACAGAGTTTTACCAGAATTTCTGGTAAGAACTGCATCAGTGTTACATGTTGTACTAGCACTTGTGAGTGAATGCATTAAATACTGAAGAGACACAATAATACCATAACACAAGTCGGATAAAATTAAACTAGAAAATGCTAGGGGATGTGGCAAACAGCAGCTCTGATGCACTGGCAGATGTCCCGATCAAGAATGAAAAATGTTTGCTTTCAGGTTTGTCTAAGAATAAATTAATTTGAACAATTACGATGCTGAAAATGTGAGATTTAACCTCTTAAGAGTCTAAAATACTCAGATAATCTGCACCACCACCTTTATGAGCTGTAGCTGATAACAATAAAATAAATCCTTGTTTACCATTCTGTTAATCACATCTGACATATCTTACTTGAATCATGTTTAATTTGATCAACTGTTCCAATTTTGAGTACTGATGCCAACGTACATGCAAGAGAGACAGAGGCACCCACTGAAAAGGCTCTAACTCCTCTGTGTTAGAGAAGTTCTGCTCTCTATGTTAGAGAAAGTAATCCTTTTTCTAAGCATGGCAATTTGTCTTCAAAAAATGTAGCTAAAAATAAAATAATGCTGCTCCACTTACATTCCAGTCTATAGTAACAAAGAAAGGGTGACGCTTAATTTCTTCTACTCCATCAAACCCAGCACCTGAGAAGAGAATGAAAGAATCAAAATTAAGTCATGCTTATAGAGGGCTGCATGGTATCTCTTCTCCACTCTCCCTCCCATCCCCACTTTTCTTCTGACAGAGTCCCCATTTAAACAGTTCTAGTAAATAAATTCTGAATGGTGCAAGTGCCGTCACAGTATAAGTGCCATAGATACAGACAAGAGCACTTCATTAATGAGACTGATTCCAAGGGTCTTTTACTTTTCTCAAATTGAGGCTTTAGGTAAGACATAGGATTTTATCCACAGCAGACTGCACGTATCAGCAAGGTCAGGAAATGCCCCAGGATATCCTGATACTCTGGGAAGACTCCATCAGTGGCAGTTTTTCTATCCACACTGACTTTCAAATCTTGACTAGCTACTGTTCTCCACTGGCAAAGAAAGCTGCACTACAGGCAAGTATAGACTCAAAATGCCAAAAGCTCCAAAATTATTTGAGGTAAGCCAGGGTTTTAGGTTCCCCCTCTTCACAGTACCAAAGAGTACCAAAATCATCACCCTCAGTGTTATGTTTCCCTCACTATTAAATTTCTGTTACATTACTGTAGGAAATTTTGGGGAAGTCTTCTGAGATCTGGTAACGAATCTAATTCCTTCATTACCTTTACCTTATGTTTTCACTGAATATTGACCTTTTTATTCCTTTAGCTCAATTTATTTGCTTCAGTACTATCACAGAACCAAACCGGTACTCAGTAATAATTAAAAGAACTGTCAGAGAGGATTCAGAATGCAATTTTTGGGGATTTGACCTTATTATTAGCACCTTTCATTTTCATTTCAAGGAGAATTAAACTCTGGAAGCAAAGGCTTTGCACTGGAATTCTGGAATCAGTTCCTGAAGGGGTACTCAGCCTACTTCTTTTCAAGCATGCTGAGCAGCCTAGATTCTCAAAAGGATTTGGGATTCCTAAGCACCTTGCAAGGGTCACTCAGCACCTCAGAGGACTCAGCTTTTTATACACACAATATTTGTACTTTGGGAAGATCAACATTACAAGCGATGTTGCGGTGTGTCTCTTTAACTTGGTTAAGTTGTAAATTGGTTTGTTCCATGTACCCCTTTATTTGTAATGGTTCTGCCCTGGTTCTCCCTCTCCTTGCTCGCCCCGTTAGTCCAGTTTTCCCCTCCCCGTTACCATTGGCAACCCATGTATCTGTCCCTTAGTCCCTCCCTGGTGCCCTGTCCATCACTCAGTAGCCCATCCCTTCCATCTAGAATCTTCCAGTCAGGGCATCGAGTGATTGGTTCAGGGGCCAGGGCCCCTCCCCAGGCTTTTCCCTATTAGTTGTTCCACTGTGTCTATCACCCTCCACCTTCCTGTGGATTGGCTGAAGACCAAACTCCACTTCTGTACCCTCCCCTCTTTATAAGCTAGTGTCAGACCCCAGTTCGGGGTCTTCAGCCGTCAGTCTCCCTGGAGTTAATAAATCTGGACTATACTGCAGCTGGAGTCCATCTCTTCCCTCCTGTTGGGTAGCAGCCCTTTCATTGTGGATCCCCGTCCCTTAAGGCAAAAGCCTTAGGCGCCCTCCTGACCAGACCCAGGACCGGGAGAGTGCCCCAGTGCTGCTGGTGGTGCTGGCCACAGCTAGCAGGGACGTCCTGAAGGGGTGATCATCTTTCCTTACTGAGGCCAGCTGCCACTGCAAAGCAGCTTTACAAAGGCTTGTCAACGGAAGCTTTGGTAAAATATGATGTCTGCTGTCCTTGTGTACAAGACTATTATCAATGTTTGTCAAAATGCAATGATCAGGAACTGCTCCCTACAACCTGCTTAACATTCACTGATGAGGAGAAATAGGAAGCGAACACTTTGTAAACATAACATGCAGAATTGTCTGTCAGGCCTGCTGGAAAACATCAAAGAGGGATTATCTCCTGATTAATTCCCCATTCCAGTAATCTTTTAGTATAGGCAAGTGATGCACATCAGCGTGAACAATCCCAGCCTGCAATATAAAATTATGTGCTCAGAGGTGATCAGACCTGCTGAGCAGTCTGTGAGTTATGACAGCCAGACATTTCTAGGCAAACACAACATGAAATCAAATCTTAGAAAAAGAGGACAAAAGTGACATCATCATTGCACTGTCACTGTGTAAGTCTGTTGCATTTTGCAACTGGAGTATGGATTGTAGCTGACATACTCCTGTGTAAAATTGTATACTGATTAAAGTTACAGAAAATCAAAGAAGGCCAACAAAGAATGTTATGGAATGACTGAGTAAGTCAGGACTTTTCAGCCTGGAAACAGATGACCGAGGAAGTATAAAACAGACCACTAAATGATGCCAACAGGAATGAGCTTTAGAAGAACCTGGAGATGTTTCCTCAGGAAACAGACAGTTGTGTAATGTGGAATTACTTGGAAAAGATGATGTGGTGCAAAATATTTACATGGGTTCATGGGGAGGCCAGGAAAGTCTGTTGAAAAGTAATCTGTTGAAGATTACTTCACTGACAAACCACAAGAGGCTCAGGAAACCCCTTGCTTGACCTTAAAGCGGGAATAGGGTAGGAGAAAACTTGGGTGAAACAACATATGTTTATCCTGTTCTTACATGCCCCTAGGCAGTTGTTTATGGTCCATGGGTACTGAACAAGAAAAGAAGAAGTCTTAGAATAGGACTCGTTCTATTACTTCCCTAGCATATTTTTGTTCAATGCACAGTCTGAAGTCTGCAAGAATCCTTTGGCAGATTCATATTGATTTTAGCAATGCCAACAGAAAGACAAAACCAACATAGTTACTCTGAAGAGAATTACATTAAGCAGGTCTTCAGGAAAGAAATACCTGTGAAAAGTGCTTTGAGTTCAGTGGTGGCGACTGGAAACTGCCACCCAAGTGTCAGACTGATTTTGCAGGACTGGAATAAATGCTCAGACTAGTAAGACAGTAGTAGCATACTCTAGACTGAGGATAATTGCTAATGCATTCGATTTTCTCTGCTCTGCCCCTTCCCCACTGCTTCTGTTTTCTCTCTTGCTTAGTCCAATGGATATGTCATTGTGTTGGCTATGACATGCTTTTTTTCAGATCATCTATTAGAAAGACACAATTTTTGCTAATGTTGTTCTTCCTTTTCCCACAAACCTACAGAAATAAGGACTAAGAAAAAAAAGTCCACCCCCAGCTACTTCTTTTAGTGGGGGCTTCAAGTGTTTGGTAAGAAATTCAAGCATGCAGTTGAGGCAGGCGTTTGTTTGAAAAAGTTTCATTTCCCAGTTGGAGCCACCTCAGCTCTGGCACATAAGGAATATGTTGTAAAGTGCAAGGGCTTAATATATTAAAAAGATTTAGGATGGTAATAGCCTCATTTTGCAAGGAGTGGCTCACTTCCAATTCTTAGCAACTGATTATATGCTATGGAAAAGGTTCAGCACTTCCTGCAAGTTTTATTCCCTGACGTTCCCCACCGTGAGAATTACTGGTGTAGCCCACAGCCCCTTCCTGGATCGTGTGCTGTGGCTGCAGGCAGCAGTGTGTGGCCTGGCCCTCTCCTCAGCTGGAGAAGGGAAGTGGCTCAAGGGTGCATTCAGGAATGGCTCTGGGAGCCAGGAAGACAGCCCTGACCTCTCTGCAAAAGTCCTTGGGAGATATTAGGCATCAGTGCTTATAGTCTCTCTGGCTTTGCTCAGCATGTTTCAGCCATTCATCTATCACCTCTATCTATCATTCATCTATCACCTGCAAATCTACAGGGGTACTGAGAAGAGATGTGCTTTCATGGAGAAAAGCACTGCAGCAGTCACGACTGGAAAGGCCTGCTGCATGGAGATGGACATTTCTTGACATAGAGATCGGTATTCAGCAAACATCTGAAGCACAGCATGACTACAAACCTTTCACCTTCCTCAAGGTTTCTTGTGATTTTGAATTTTTTAAATTCACTTCAATTTGGCAATAAGACCTATTAGCCAAGAATAATCAGCACAATCAAACCTATTGCCTGCAAATATTTTTACGTGCCATCCAGTCCCATGATGATCCCAGTCTCCAAGGTCTGAGAAGATAAATAATTCTTTCAGATCAAACTGCCAGTTTAAACACATTATAGAGTGCATTTATATAAAAGCAGCCTCATGTTACTAAGTGAGAACTTAATTATCTAAGTTTTATGCCTGCAATAAAAGTGCCTGCAAACAGTAAGAGTAGAATGTTTTATTTTAGTTGGTTTTGATTATTGAATCTTTATGGCCAACACGAGCCTTGAAATATTAAGGGGGAAAAAGAAGACTTAAGAAACCTGAAAGTTGATTACTTGGATATTCAAATTCATCAGAAAGAGTTTCTAGCTTTTTAAGCTAGTTTCAGATAATAAAATTTTAGTGTCTCTACAGCTTCAGAATCTTTTTAGTGAGCTAGAATTTTTGAGGTATTTTTCTAAGGTTTACAAGAAAGCTTTACAGTCACTCTGACTAAGGTGAAAGCTGTTTTCTGTTTAAACTCATCATTCTAAAAAGTTAAAGCCTAAAGTTTTCTATATGCCAAAGCACAATGTATCTTACCTGAGAACATGGGATTAAGAAAACAGTAATAATTTCCTTGGCTTTTACTCTGAGCCTATGGGCATATGCTTTTATTTGAAACTTTCTGGGCCGAGCTTCTCAATTATAAGGACCCTGGACACTTTCATACTGCTCAGCAGCGTAGGGAGTTTGTTAGATAATACGGTTTTTATATAAAATTTTAATAATTTGTTAAATAATAATTTTAAATAATAAATAATTTATTTACCTACCGGAGAGATCCTTAGAGCAAGTCTCTTGCCTAGTTCTTGGAAATGTAACAAACTAACACTTTCATCCTAAAGTTTAACTTTTGAGTGCTTACTCCTTATTTGTCTGGATATTCAGTTAGTTTAAGAATTTAAAATTATGCTTATCCGTAACCTGAAGTTGTTGTACTTCAGAGCAATACTACCAAAGCAGTGCTATTCAGACGATTTGTACAGCAAATAGGCTCAGAAAAGAAGAGACAGTGCCCAAAGCCAGGAAGACTTTTCATTCCTTAAAAATTTGTCACAAATATTAATATGGGCATCAGACTTAAAAATAGAAGCAAGTAAATCAGATTAAGTTTCTTTTCAGTCTTGTCTAACTTGCTTCAACCCTAATATTTTTTCCATTCATAATTCAAAGCTTCAAAACACAATTTCAAAGCAAAATTTTCAGACTACATCATCAGTCTTTACTTCTGTTTGTTAAGATACCAAAATCAAATGGCAAAAAGAGCATCTTTTGTCTTGCAAATGTTTAAAATTGGACTTTGGAACTAAATGCACTTTCCATATTTGCAAATTTATTAAACAATGGCTGAAATCAAGTGTTTGATCCAGAATATCATTAATTTATTTTAGCACACGTCATTAATTTTCCTAAGATTTTTCAAATTCGGATGTCTAAGTCTACTTTTCTTTAAATAGTATTATTCCTTTCTCAAAAAAAGCTGAAATCCACAAATCTGAAGCAGTCCTTTTATCTACTGACTTCTGTTCAGTATTTAGGCCAACTATTCAAGCTTTTCTTCTTTTGTTATCAACGGGTTCCTTTCCATCTTCCTTTGTGCTGATTCTCAATCAGTTAAAACAGAGAATGCCTTCAGGAGCTTTCCACCGTTATCCCTGAAATATTAAGATCTTTTTTTCTGTTACCCTTTAAGGTTTTATTTCCTTGGACATTTGTATCATAAATAATTTATTTCTTTCTTTTTCTGTCCTCCAAGCCCTCCCAGTATTTCAATACACCTCAGGTTTTAAAAACCTGACCCCTAGCAATTCCCCATTATTAACATATGAGGGCTAGAATTGTTTTGGCTAAAACTAATTTTTACTGAGCAGGTTTTTAAGGACTGGTATCCAGAAACTCCCACTGACTTTACTGGTGCTCCATTTTGGATGGATAGCAACTTGTAAGAAGCCACAAAACATGCAGAGCAGCATAAAACCAAGAGATGGAGAGAGAGAGGAAAAAGCAGAAAGAAACAGAGGCAGGGAGTGGGAAAAAGTTTATATTTGATGCAGCACCTAATTTTTTTGAAGAGATATTAAACCTAGAAATCCCAATACTCTATTTTTTTCCAGTGTGAAACAAGTTTCTTGAGACCAGTCGAAACCTGCTCAGAAAATGTGTTTTTCTACTCTCATGTTCGCAGTATATCAGAATACAAGGCTACCATTTTGATCAGGAGGTAAAACAAATGGGAAGGCATTCCCTCTGTGGGCCATATGGGATCCCCTTGCCAGGAGAGGGGCCACAGTGGCATGCTGCAGGATTGGCTCCCCACTGCCACCCAGCACTAGGCTTGATTGGGTTGTCCCCACATGCCTGTGGGGAATAACGACAAAATCTGCAGTGGCAGTCATGCCATAGGCATTGTCCATGACCTCATCAAATGCAATTAATTTCCTAATAAAACCTGTAAACAAAGGTACAGATAATATAAGATACATTATCCAATATATGCGTTTTGTTTATCACAATCTAAATAGAATTATTAACAAAGGGTGAAGACACATTGCTGCTTTAAGATTTTAGCTTTTATAGCTTTCAAATCCAATACTACATCAGTGCATAGGTCTAAACTCCACATAAAGTGTAGTTAACTGTCTGCACGTTTTGGTTATACAAAACAATTGCTGTAGGCCTGACATCCAAGGACACACCACAGCCTCAGGCCTCGAAAAATATAAACAAAAGTGAATTGCTGGGAGCGAGCTGGGGGAATATGGTTTCATTACCTGAAGCTGTAATTGGAGAACTAACCCCTGATATGCAAATAGACCAAACTTATACTGTCAGAAAAACTCATGACTATTGGCCATCTTGGGTGTAGCCTCTGAGAGGCTTTTGCACTGCCCAAAGTGTATGTATTAAATACCTTTAATAAATACCCACTTTATTCTCTTAACTCTGTCTAGCCTCTGTTCTAGGTAGCCACTCTAGGTAGCATCAAAATCAGTAAAAAGTAGATGATGTATTTGGGTAATAAAGTCTACTGCATGACTGCCCCTAGCTAACAGAACAAGACAGGATTGAAATGCATTTCAGAATGAGAGAGAGAAAACCTGAGATTTGCAGCTAAATGATACAGATTTTAAATCACACTTGTTTCTCAGTTCCCTATATTATCATATACAGCAGGTATCTTAAATCATTCATAAAAGCTGGCAGTTCACTCACCCTCTTTACAAAAAAAAAAAAATGAAACACAAGTTGATATCATGTTTTAGATTTCAATGCTTTGCCTGTACTCCTTACAAATTTATCTAGTGATGCTGAAGGCTCACTGTGCTCTGGGAAGGAATGCCAAATGCCAACTAATGAAGAGGATAATCACTGAAAAAGATGAGCTGAGAGGTACAACTCTTCCCCCAACAAGGCAGGGAGCACATAACGAATGTGCTCACCAAATGCACACGTACCTAATCTGTTGGAGGGGTTCCTTTTGAAGAGGGCTCGCAGCAGGCTCTGGGCTTCTATGCTCAAAAACTGTGGCATTCCCAGCTTGGCTCTGAAAGAACACAACACTTGAAAAGAAAAGAGATTTTTCAAGCTTTTATTCCATCCCACTGCGGTGGAAACAGCAGAACTGTAGGAGTAAGGATGAGCAGACACATGAAATCTGTGACCAAAGGCTACCTAAGCATAGTGTAATGCAGAATGAGAAGCTGATCTTATTCCGCTGATCTTAAGGAAGGTTTTACCACTGACTTCACTAGAGATAGAGCAGATCTAATGAATCTCATAAAAGTTTTGCAACTTAAATAGGTAATTTTCCTACAGTTTTTTTCACTTTTTTAGTTTGTTGGAATAAATTTGGGAATAAAGAAGAATTTAAACAATCAAACCATGAAAAAAAAAAAGCACACTAAACTGCACACTGTTTAAAGAGAATAAAACTTTGTCTTGGCCATTCACCACAACTTTAAAAAGTGCACTGGTGAACAAAGATGAGCTTCAGATACTTTTGTCTCCATTTAACATTAAATGAATGGGACATCGCAACGGAAAAGATTTGAAACTTGGCAACAACAAAATATAAGATGTCCTGCAGAAATCTGACTTTCCCACATTCTGTGGATACTGACATTATCACAAAAAGTAAGATAAATTTATTTCATAAGGCTCTCTCAGTAATTCACTTCCTACTGTTTATTTTGAAGGCAATTTTAGAGTTAAACACAGGGATCAGCTATGTGTGTCTTATTAAATTCACACCTTGCACAGCTTTGGAAAGCTCATTACACACCATTATTCTCTACTCATCAAATTCTTGGGCCCTATGGAGTCTCCGGAGGGTAGAGTTAACTCACAGTAAGAAGAATGAAAGCAGTTTTGATACTCACTTGAGAATGAGTGCCATTGTCTCCTTTCTGTCTTTTCCCTGGAAGGGTAATGATCCCGTCAGCATCTCAAACTGTGGAGTAGCAACAAAATGGTAAATGTGCATTGGGATGGTCTGCATAGCTGACCACATCCATCTTCTATTTCCAACACAACTGAAAACTAGAGGAGAAGAAATGATCCAGCAACCTACGCAAACAAAAAAATGGCACAGCAAGTCTGGGTGACTGTTTCATTCCAGATATGTGTTACAAACTGTTCACACTGATAGTTGTTGTCAAGTTTTGGTACGTTTGGGAAGAAGTGTCACATATGGTGCTTCCTTCAGCGTCTGTTTTATGACCAGTGCTGGCAATGAGGTATTTGGCTGGAGGGACCCTTATTGTGCATGGATATGGCTCTTCTTAGTGTGGACAGATGGAATGTAGGAAAACAGAGATAGTGGTGAAGGTAATCTCACTCCTAAGGAGTTACAGCTGTGCTAATTACCAAGAATTAGGAACAGGTCTGCCCTAAATAGGACACAGCTAGATCCAGTTAGGATGAGTATTATAAAAGAGTAGGTTGGCTGGTCAAGAGGTTAGGGTTTGTTGGCTGTGCTGTGAGGAAGAAGGAGTTAGTACTGTGAGGAGCTGCCCATGAGAAATCACCAAGAGAGTATGGAGCTTTTGCAATAAGATGACGATAATTGGTGATCCTGATGTAATCCCGTGGTGGTTTGGGTAGAGAACTGCAGAGAGGACAGTGAAGACTCGATCCCTTGATGATTCAGGCAGACCAGTGCAGACTTAAGACCAGCAAGTCAGTGGAGCCAGGTGGAGTAGGAGAATGGGACCTGAACCAGGAGGACCAAGAGCCAGAATGACCTGAGAGCTTGAAAGAAATATAGGTGGACCTGAGAGCCTAGAAATCTGGACAACGTATGAGACACCACACCCAGGTAAAAAGGACTCGCTTGGAAGAAGTGTATGATAACCTCAAAGATGAAATGTTTAGAATTATGGATGCTGAGAAGAATCTCCCTCTAGCCTACAAAAGAGAGATGCAGCTAAAAAGGAAGTAAAGACTGTTGAAGAGAAATTGGATACTAGGCTTAATACTGATGAAACTGCTGAAATTTTGAAAGAAAAGGAAGAGCAAATCAAAGGATTAATGGAGGAAGGAGAAAAGCTTTCCAAACAGCAGCTGCAGAGTTCTACCATTATTAAGAAATTAAGAGCCAAATAGAAGGAGCGGGAATATATTAACACTAAACAGTACAAAAATATTAAGGAGTTAGTAGAGGAGTTGCAGCATTTAAAATAGGTGCTTGATGGCAAGGAAGGCTTGGAGAAGCAGCATCAAGACAGCTTTAAACAACTGAACCGTGTTGTGGAGAGACAAGACAACACGTGAAGAGAAGCTTTCTGAGAAATTTCTTAAGTCACTGCTGCATGAGCAGACAACATGCAAGAGAGACCTAGCTCTGTAATAAAAAACAATGTGGAACTCTGAGAGGCAGAGTCAGAGCTGCACAGACAACATATAAGAGAAGCCCTGTAAAATTGTATAGTGGCCAACTCCACAGTAACCCAATGTGATTGGGAGTGGGCTGTAGGGCGAGGTGCAGCCGGAGATGGAGCCCAGCGTAGAACTGAGAGCAGCAGGGGAAGCTGCCTGGTCCAGACCTGACAGATTTTGACGCCTGAGGTACAGGTGAGCCGCTGGGGACACAATGGAAAATAACATATTGAGTGCAGAACAGATTGTTTTATATACATGGAAAGAAGTTAAAAGAGACTGTGAAATATAGTATCAAAAAGGGGACAAGGCAGCTGCAGATTTGGCTGCCACCTGGAAATCACTTTATAAGACTTTAAAAGAATGGAAAACAGCAGGACAAGAGAGGCTTGCAGTGATCAACTAATACAACAAAAACTGTAGAAGGAAGAAGATTATTAAAGCAGCAGTGAGAGCTGGGAAAGAGTAGCTCTATTGTTTAGTATGGTGTATTTGTTTGTGGATAAAATGTGTGTATTATATTTGTGAATTGCAGCTATTAATATTTGATTAGGCAATTAGGTATGGGTCTAAAGATTTTGATGATAACTACTCTGAATTTAGAGAATTAATCAAGTCTATAATGTGAAAAAACAAAATGAATTAGACTTCTATACCATAATAAGAGTATATGTTTCTAAATTCTAAGTAAAAGGGTTTTTTATTATATGTAACGTAAGTTTGGGTAATGAATCAAGGTCAGTGCACAGACACATTCCGAAGTTAAATGGAAATTACACACAGAATGATTGTATTGGGTTTACTATCTTTTGCAAAGGGCCCCGCAAAAGTTAGTAAACACAACGTTACTTTATGAAAAGCCTTAAGTTGATATTCTAGACTGTGAAAAGCAAAACTAAATCAGAACTTAGAAACATATATCCTTACTGTGATATGTTGCCTGAACATTCATATAACTGTTAGTCCTAAGTGAGGTATGTGAATATGTTATAATGCCAATTTACTTGAATATTATCTTTCTAGAGATACTGCAACTTTGTAATTAAAAGAAAAAGGGGCATTGTAGACGGATGGAATGTAGGAGAATAGAGATAGTGATGAAGGTAATCTCACCCTTAAGGAGTTACAGCTGTGATAATTACCAAAAATTAGGAACATGCCTGCCTAATAGGACACAGCTAGGTCCAATTAGGATGGGTATTATAAAAGAGTAGGTTGGCTGGTTGAGAAGTTAGGTAGAGTTTGTTGGCTGTGCTGTGAGGAAGGCGTTAGTACTGTGAGGAGCTGCCCATGAGAAATCACCAAGAAGGTATGTAGCTTTTGCAATAAGATGACAACATCTTAGGTGTTCGATATGGTCTACCATGCAAGGCAAATGGATTTGATATGCCATTCCCCACCTTTTTAGGCTGAATCAAACCACCTCTTTGATTGTGTATTTGCAACACTTAGAGTTGCGTCTCAGATATTTTGCAGGAGAAACAAGACTATACCCCACATTCTCAAGGCTTTTGAGTGTGCTTTTTCTCTCCTGCTTTGGTTCCTCTGGCTGTATTCAGTGATGGAACTCGTAGGTGTCACATTCAACTGAACCCAAATCTGAAAGCAAAACTCAACAGTCATCATCAATTATTTGCCTAAGTCAAGTGTTGAAACATCAATCAGTTATGGTTCCTTGGAGACAGATTAGCGCTTTCAGTAAATTTGACAGGAATTTCACATCTGTAAGAAGTGGAAAAAAGAAAACCAAACTGAACCCCAGCTGAAGAAGCTTGCCGAATATGGTGTTTTAGGGAGTCGCAGGTGCTTGCCCTGACTAAGGGAGGCTGAAGGCTGTGCATCACCAAACATAAAGACACCAAGAACATAATTGAGCTTGGACACAAAGGAAAACTCTGTCCATTGAGGGCAAGGTAAACTGTTACTTGTTTGTGTCTGTCACTCAGGCTTTGGATCTCCTCTGCTATAGTAAGTTAATTACTTAGTGTCATTAATTAATCTAATAATTACTACTCATTGCTATAAGTAAATGCTTGCTAAGGCAGGAAAGATTCTTCAAGCCTTATATAATTTTTGTACCTTATCTCACAAGAAACCACAGTGCTCCCAGAAAGCACATTTGTGCCTAGAAAGATTCTTTCATTACCAAAACTTGTGTCAGATTGCCGCACAGCCCGACTCTTTCTCTTGCCTAGATTAAATATAGCTATACCAGAGGAAAAATAGAGAAAACAGAAGAAAACTAGTGAACCTGATATGTTAATTTTGGGAGAAGGGCAGAGGAGATGTTTAGAAGCCAGACAACTAACTGAATATAGTTAATTGAAGGGTTAATCTTCATTAGTAACAAATTACCTCAAGGCACTAAAATGCATAGTAGAAACAGAAAAAAAACCACTTTAAACAAATTTATATGACTGCCAAATATCAACAAGACTTGGAAAAAACAAATGCATTAACTTCTGCTTGGGTTAGGAGAGGCAAGAAAAGTAGACCTTGAGGAAAGCAGCTCATTTTCTACAAAGAAACATAATGGGGGAGAATTTTTAAACCTGCTTAGATGACACTGGAGCTTAAACACCATTTTCAAAGTAATTCTGACCTATTAGAGCCTAGTCCTGATAAAATGGGACTGGCAATGAAGGACAGAGAACATTGCTTCCCAGGGCAGCAGCAGAAATGGTACAGATTGTACCAAACCCTCCTCATGATTTCTAGAGTGTTTATGCTTACGGTAAGTACCTAATGTTCACTTACACTTGCTCACATTACTTTGTTATTATAAAAAATCTAATTTAGTGGCACCAACAATGGCTGCTAAGTCTCATTTATACTGGCCTAAATGGGCTTGACACTGCTGATGCGGATGATACAGATACAAGCACTGTTTGGTGAGTGACTACGTGGAAAAGGACTGTAGTTCCCACCCACCCCAATATCCCAGGAATACCTGCAAATGCACTGTGACTGCAAAGGATGGAAACAAGAAGGAAGGAATTTGGAAGAAACTGAAGTTGCAGGAGGGAGCAGGGGGAATGACTGTTCTGGAGGCTGCAGGAAACATTTACTGTGCTGCTGCACTTTGTTACCACATCTCCAATTGTGCAGGCCTAATGTTGAGATTAATTCAGGTTCAGAAGAAATGCAGTTAACATCAATATTTAAAGTGAAAAGCAGCCATGTAAGTTAAGTGTACCAGAGCTTTTTACTTTAATGAACTTTGCTAAGCAGCCTCTGGAATAGAGCTTTAGTTTCTCAATTGCAGTCCTGATTAAATCTGTTGAAGGTTCAAAATGAAATAACAAAATCAAAAAAAAATTTGAAGTTGTTCATTTCATCAGTTAACGCTATCATTTCACTGCACAGAGACCTGTCTTTCTGCTTATTTTTTTCAAAAAGTCAAAAATCTTGCTAAACCTGAACATGAAAACAGAAGTGAGAACATGCTGCTTACACTCTTGCACATAAATACAGAGCTGTATGGGTCACAGCAGGTTGACAAGAAGCTGAGACTAGGGGTGAATGGATTCCACACTATTTTTGTCTATTAAAGCAGCACCTATAGTTTTGCTGGGGGACTCAATTTTCGTTCTCTCTACTTCTCCATCTGTAGAAACCACCTGTTTGCTCCTTCCTTCCTACTGATTCTCTTCCCAGGTGTTTTGGAGGGCTATCTTCTGTTAGGCTTCAGAAGGCTGCACCTCCCTCCGACCTTGTTTTCCTTTCTGTACCGAAGAAAGTGCAAGGCGAATATTTTTTTGTTCCAGTTCAGCTGCCTATTTAGAGACCCACAGAATTAGGCTCAATGGGAAGGAGCCTCTGGAGTCACATGATCCTGCTGAGGTGTCAATATACTATGCAGTGCTTCCTTGCTCTCTTTCAGGGCAGTCTCCCATTTCAGTCGGCAAAACATAAGCACTTCCCAGAAGATATACAGATCAGTGATGTAGGCCCTCCCCAGCCTAAATTTTCACTGTTTTTCACATTGCTTCCTATGCTTCCTCTGGTGGGATCAGTTGTCCGCTTCAGGTGAACAAAATTTAAACATATTCTACGGATTTTGGTATGTAGTGCAATACCTAGCTACCAAAACCAGCCTCCACAGGAAATGGGGCTGTACTGGAAGAGCACGTTGCTACACTAATTTCTGATTCTGCCCTGGCTCTGCTGTGACAACTACGGTGAGGTACCCTGTGAGCCACAGCTGGCTGGTGATGGCCATGCCCTGAGCACAGGGTAGATCTGCAGCCGGCCCACCTCAGGAGACAGCAGCACCAGCTCTGTTATTCAAACATATCCCTGTGAGAGTAGCAGGTGCCTGGTGTCTGACCTCAAGGGACACCACTATGCTTGATAAAACAATGCTTCCAAAAACTTACAGTGTTCATACAGCTTTGAAAAAAAAATCACAGTGTCACAAACCAACTTCTTGATCTTTTCTTCTTCTACCTTGGCAACAATAGCCCACAGACTGAAGAGGCTGGAGGGGTGCAAGGTGGCCGGGAGAGCATCTGAACATGTTATTTTAAAAGGCTGGCTTGAGGAGAGTGCAATACCTCTCTGAAAAACCTCACTGACACTGCAATTTTTATCTGAGGGATCTGATCCCTCCCACAGCCACCCCTCCCACAGATAAGCACAATTTCTGCATTACCATGAGCACGCCAAAGGACCACCAGTCAGCACTCTGCGTGTGCCCTCGCCGGTTGACCACCTCTGGGGCCATGTACTCTATTGTCCCGCAGAATGAGTACGCTCTCTTGTCATGGTCGATGGATTCTTTACTCAGACCAAAATCTACATAAATTGAAGCAGAACAGGACTTGTCAGGTATCTAAATATTATTATTTCTGCTTTTGCTCGCTTAAATTGTTTGAATGAAACACACCAACCAGCTAGTGAAGTGCCCTTCTCTCCGTGTGCAGAAAGAGGCCGCAGGCACATGTGTGCTGGAGCCCTGCCTATGTGTAGTGTCTGGCACTTGTTAATACACCCTGAAAATAGGCATATAATTTTCCCTGTGCAGAATGAGGTTCTGGCTCAAGGCAGAAGGGAGTTTAAATAAGCAGATATATACAGTTCAGGTTTGGTGAAGATAATGTTAGTGAGGATTCTTGTGCAGCTAACCAAAATATTTGGAATAATCCCAGATTACACCAGTGAAAAGGCTGGCTAGACAGTGCCTCTAGAGTGGCAAAGCGATGTCCTTCCAGCCAACCTCTGCCTGGATTAAATAGTCATATTGGAAGCATCCTTCCATCCACAGTGGCAAGCAGCCAAACCTGCCTGCTTCACATCAGTCAAGAGCGCAATTTTAATAAGAAAAGGCTGTTCTCCATGTGCTGTGCAGTAGGGGGGTTGACAAATTGACAGAGAAGCTCAACACTCAAACTCTTCTGGCTTCTAGTTTTTGTAAGCAAACTCCTTCCAACCAAAGACCAGGATGCATGCAATATACTACAGGAAAAAAAAAATCAGTTTATAGGCATGAAGTTTTCTATTTCTCACATACCTGTTATCTTAATGTGACCCTCTTCATCAAGAAGAATGCTATAAAGCAAAAAAAGAAACATTCATTCATTAGCCAGGCACAAAGTGCAGTTAAAAAACATGAATAAAAGATGTTTAAGTCAGGTAAGGAGATATTGCAAGATTCAAATACTTATGTACACAAAACCTTAGTGGATTCTATGGCTCCAGAAAGAAAAATGAACCTCAAAGGTTTTTTTAATCTCATGTCTGAAGCATGCACAGCCTCATGCAGTTCCACGAGGAGCCTCCTCTGTGCTCCACAGGATGTTCAAGGTGGGCATGCAAACAGAGCTCAGAAAGAACAGGGTGTTCAAAGTGAACAGCTGCAGAGTGTATGCTTCCAGCAGGAGAAGGAGCTACACATTTCCTGTTCTTGTCATAAGAAAAGGCAATTGAAGAAATAATCAAGGCTTGGACTCACTGGACCTAAAATTAAGTCATGCTGAAGTAATAAAAGTCATTGCAGAGCACAGTGACCAGTCACAGCCTAACGGCATGATCTCAGCCTCTGCTGATTTTTTTTTTTTTTTTGTCCAGTGCACAGATGAAAATTCAGCCTGGAAGCCAAATTTAAGTGTTCTCGCATTTGCCACCTGCCAACATATTTTTTCTTAACAAAGGCACTCCAGCATTTCTGTAGTTCACAAAAAGCACTGCTAGTTTTTGTGGAAACAAGAATGAACACTAAATTTGAAAAATAATGATTTTGGTAAATAAAAACTGACATAGTAATGAAGGTGGTCTTTCTTCAGTCTTAGTTACACTCAGTATATTTTTCTTTTCAAAGTGATCTAGCATGTTGCCAACTATTTTTATATTCCTCTTCTCTTAGAGAATCACTTTAATGTAATTATTCAGGAAGAAAATAGAATACTAGTGAACCAAATATAATAAGCTCTCCTTTTGTGAAAAGTTGTATCTGAACTGAAACATAATTGAAAAAAGATGCTCTTCTGTCATTCATGTGTTTAGAAAAAGTTGTTGTGCAAGTCATCAAAGCCAGCAACTAAGTCAGTACCACGAGTCCCATAATTAAAGCCTTTTCTTCTCAATTAAAACACCTTACCTTTATTCTTTCTCCACATTTTCCTTGAACACAGCATTTTCTAAGTACTAGTCTATACCAGGCATGTTTAAATGTACTTTTATGACTGAAACACCTAAACTTGTGCTTCAGAAGAGAACAGAATAAAACACCTGCCAATGTGGAAGTGAGCATGAATATATGTACTCCCCAGACCTCAATCTGGAAAAATAGCAAGGGGAATAGAGCTCACAGAAATCACCCAAAACTTTGCCCCACACACAGGAAGCCCTTGTGAATAACTATGCAATTCAAAGGAAATTTCCCCAGAGGCACTGATTTTACACTTAATGGGTTTTAAATTTCGTAATTTCCTATTGGAAATGCATGCTGCTGTAGTATGTACACGATGTGTGCTTACTTTGCCCTGATAAAAGGGCTTACACCTTACCCTCATTAAAGGGATAGAAGCAACTCCAACAGAGCTTTCATGCTGATAATATTGCCTGAGGTTGTGTCAGAAACATACAGCAACTCTTTCTCACACTGTTTGCATGAGCACCAAAATGAATAGATCCTCGCTTCCAATGGATGTGTATCCCATATCCCCTAAAACATGAGCTTCAGTTCCTTCCTTCATCTCACATTCTCCAATCACCCTTCTACCATTCCCTCAGCTGCTGGCAGCTTCCTCTGTGGCCCCTGGCAGCACCCTTTGGACATCTGGGTGCCTCCACACTTGCCACCTGACAGCACAAATAATGCTACAGCTACTAACCAAAGATTATATTTCATGTAAAAAGAAAACAATATGCTAATTGTGAGGGGGGAAAAAAGGTACCTGTTGCACTGAATTATCTTAGAGTGAAATTAAGAAGAAAAAAGTACCTGGTTAGACAAATGCAAATTACAACAATAGACAAATAGGTTTCCTGTGACAGTAGAAGCAAACTTTCTATCTAATCATACTCTGTACTCTTTTTATCTTTGTCATCTTACAATTCCTTTTTATCCCACAATATCCATAGCAGACATTCTATTGTGACAATCACAATTACTTTAGCTATGGTTTGCAGAACAAACTAATCTGAAATAAGATAGTATTATTCTCTGAAGGGGAAAAACAACCAGAAGTTCTTAATATGATTCAGGCTTGAGAATAATCTTTCATCTAAATTAATGTTTTGAAATTATAAAACCCATAAAAAAGTAGACTACTTTTAAATGCTAAACTAGGTTGCAATCATACTGAATGACAAACTTCAGCTAGGAGGTTTTCTCATTTTATTTGTTCAGTCTAATGCTTGAGTGCTTTTACAGGATACTGTCATTGTAAACCTCCTCTTCAAAGCAGTAGTAACAGTTACTAGGTGAAAAATATGCCAACACCATAAATAAGTGAACCACACATATTGTGGAACAAAAAATGCCACAAAATAAGGGCATCTCTTAGAGAAGAGGAGACTGAGGGGAGACCTCATCACAGTCTACAGGTTTCTCAAAATGGGAAGAGGAGGGGCAGGCACTGATCTCTTCTCTGTGGTGACCATTGACTGGACCTGAGGGAATGGCCTGAAGCTGTGCCAGGGGAGGTTTAGGTTGGATATTAGGAAAAATTTCTTCACCCAGAGGGTGGTTGGGTGCTGGAACAGCTCCCCAGGGAAGTGATCACAGCACCAGCCTGACAGAGTTCAAGGAGCATTTGGACAATGCTCTCAGACACAGGGCGTGATCCTTGGGATTGTCTTGGGGATATTCTATTATTCTATGATTGAATATTTTAGCATCAGAACCATCCCACAAACTGCTTTCACTGACCTCGGTTTAGAGGTATGCCTTGAGAAGAGAAAGGCTGGAAATCTCCATGCTAGAGGTTGGGGCAGCTAAATTTGTAGTAGAGGAATGACACAGTCTGAGTTACAGGAGAAGTCCCATAGCAGAACTACGACTGTAAACTCCATATCAACTTTTCTGCTGCAGCTTTATCACAGGGGAAAAAAGCTTTTGTGATGGATTGTTGGCATTGTTTTATATAATCTCTTAAATCAAGGCCTGAACAATTCTTTCCCATTTCTCTCTCTCTTAATTTTTAGTTTTGAGTCATGTCTTCAGGGTTTTACTTTGAGCTCCAACATCCCCAAATCAATGTGATGTTCTGCCAAACCTAATAAAGCTGGAACTCTGGGGTTGGTTCCGTTGTTCTTGTGGGGGTTTTTTTTGTTGTTGTTTGGTTGGTGTTTGTTTTGGTTTTCTTGGGTTTTTTTTTGGTTTTTTTTTTTTTTTTTTTTTGTTTTTTTTGTGTTTTTTTTTTTGTTTGTTTATTTGGTTGGTTTGGTTTGGGATTTTTTTTTTTGATGATATAAGTTTCTTTTTAAGTGAGAGCAGTTTTGCAGAAGATTCAACCCACACTTTATGTTAATCAGAAACTGTAGCTAAATTTTCAGGTAGGAGATAAAACCTGAGACTTCATCAAAAGTGTTTTATTTCATTTTGTTATGAAAGTACCAGATGAAGAAGTCAAATATCTACTAAAGAGATGAATCTCACAAATTGTGTTTTGTGACATTTCAGTGTTCGTATGACCCCATGCTCTCTCACCCTGCTGAATGTAAATTCCTCTCTGCTGTAGCTCCGTTGACACCATGAAGTCAAAAAGGGGCTGCTTACATCAATGGAAGCTTTCCACCATAAGCCTTTGTCGTTTACTGATTCTCAGATCTTCCCTCTCTACACAGGGCAGGTACATTCATAAATTAGTAGTCATGGTTGGCAACATGCTGCATTAAAAGTGGTGTTTGGCTTTTTTAGAGTATAGTGTCTACACTGTCCTTTGTGTAGACAACTGAGGGCCTTAAAATGTACATCACTCCTTGTTAACCTAAGCCCCTAGCAAGGTTAGCAAGGTGCATCTAGGTTCCTGAAAATAGAAATGGTTAAGATTAATAACAGTTTGTCCATTTTCAGATGGTGACTCATCTCTAAGTCACTCATGCCCTCAAACCACAGCATAAGAAATAAAATACGCATAATATACTACTCTGTAATAAGTGCCCATTTTTCTATTTTGGTATATTTACCACATATACCAAGGTATATATACCTTTATTGTATAGCTTGATTGTGCAGTTCTTAAGTAAAAACATGCCTCATCATTTAAGGATGATCAGTGGCTTCCAGTGTGACTGAGCAATACCTTGTCCCACAAGGGATGTCACTGAAATCACCAAGACAACTCAAGGAGAAAAATATTTCTGCAACAATTCAAGAGATGTATCTGCTTGTTCTAAACAAGACTTTGACCAGAAACCTCAATTACTTTTCTTTTTGAGGTAAGTACAGCTGACTTGAGAACAACTCCCAGTTGCATTGGAAATTAACTCATAGCTTTGAATTGTTAACATGGATTTTTGCTCAGGGAATCTTAAAAAAAAAAAGCTAAACCTTAAATTTTAATGTACTGAGAGTTCTTCCAAGTGGCTTGAACAGTGCTGGTTTTTTTTTTGTTTTTTTTTTTTTGGTTTGTTTGTTTTTTTTTTTTTTTTAAACATAAACCATTCCAATGAGCTTTATTTTAGCATACTTACAGAGCTGACAAGCTGCTATCAGCAGCTAATTTTGGGAGCATCTGAAGAACAGCAAAAGCATTGAACAATGAAAGGTCTAATGCAGCACCCGTCTTTAATAAAGGGGAGAGATATGGGGAGAAAGAGAGAGAATTGGGAAATTACAAATTAATTATCTCCAGTTCTGCAAATCTAACAGAGCAAACTTTGTGCTGTAATCATGCTGGTAATGCCTCTGCTGAAGATGCGTGTGTGTGATTCTGCATGTTGCACTTCAAAGGAGAGAGGGAAACCAAAGGGGAGTAATGAGAATGACTGAAGCCCTGTAAAGACTGACTAGTGAAGAAGAGTTCGGAACCTGGATTGTTTAGGATACGGAAGAGGGTCTAAGGAAAAGGATGTTCTCACAAACCCCTCAGGCTGCTGCTGAGAGCAGAACAAGCAGGTTGGGGCTTCTAGGAGGACAGGCCAAGAAGCATTTGCCTGCAGTGGCAGCGAAAAAATTTCAAACTAGGTATTAAGAGCAACATTTTAGATGAGCAACTGCTGGAGCACTGCCAAGAGGCTTCCTGTGTACAGCACAGTTTTCACCATCTGTTTTAAGCCTGAGTTAGCAACACACCTGTTATGGTCTTGATCCTGCCAGGGGAGGATGAGAACATCCTGAGATGGTCCTAATTTTCTTTTATCATCTTATTTAGGAAGATATTCTTTCCCAGATGTAACTCAAAAAATTAGCATTTTTTCCCCCGAGAGTAATTGTTTTATTCTGCTGTATCTATAACGTAAATCTAAACTTCCAGAGAAATCATAGGCTGTCATGCTCTGCTCTCCTAGGTGTGACTACACATAGGCTTTGCGCTTACAGAGCTATTTTTAGAGGACATGGTTTTCAGTCAGAAGCCTTGCTTTATCTCCAGGTATGAACTTCTGAGTCTTTCCTATAAAACAGTTATATTCATGTAAGCTGAATCTGTAGATCAAAGGTCATAAACCATTTATAAAAGGTAGAAAATGCAAGACTGAGGGCTGCCACCTTAACTTTACACAGTGATCTCTCTGTGTATAGGTCTCCAGTTACGTGATGATACTTCTTTTCTTCCATAGAAATCTTGTCTCAGCTGGCAGACTGGTAACACTCAGGGAGGGATTTTAGCAGAGCAGTACAGTGAAGGGGATGGCTGGTCTCAGCTCAGACAAAAATATAGAGAAAACTGGATTCCATCTGTACCTTTTCAACATGCTTCTATGTGACAATGACAAATCAGTGACACCTTCTTAGATGAGCTCCAATTTCTTGATTCACTGATCCCTGATTTGAAGCACATCACTTTGATCTGCAGTTATATAAAGTGCTCTCACTTGCAACTGGAGTCACTGAGAGATGTTTTTTGAGATGCAAAGTGACACTTCCTGCTGAGAACTCAGAAGAATCCAGGTCTCAGTATCTCAAATACAATGAACATACAATGAAATGTATGAGTTTTGACATACATTTAATTTTCTCCTTAGTTTCTAACTTCTTCTAAAGCAAAAAATTACAGCATATGCCTAAAAATATAAAGGCATTGCAACATATCTGAATATACAACCTCATATCTGGATACCTTCTAACAGCAGATTCATACATCATGTGTTATCTCAAAAATCAGCCTCATCTAACATCAGAGAGAAAAGCAGTGCATGATCCATACGAATGCTCACTAGAATCAAAGTTTAAAACAGAAAACCTATAATTTGCGTTATTCTACTGTATGCATGTTTGTTGATGCTGAATGGATAGAACAGCAATTCAGAATGAAATTGAAACCAAAGAGCTGCTGGCAGATGATGCAAGAGCCTGTGGCTGTAGCAGCTGGGGTGTCACCACTGCCTACCTGCATTTCATATCAGGAACAAACCAGTACTTTTCTCCCTCCAGTTGTTTAATTGTAGGATGACTTCCCACATTTGTCAAAGACAAATCGTTTCCAGTTTTGACTGCATAAGTGGGCAAGATTGGAAATTTGGTCAACTACAAAAAGTTCACTAGCCCAAAAGACTTGAGAGCTCTTGCTATGTACATTTGTTGAATTCACATAGTATTACTACTACTACTACTACTTTTCAAACCAAAACATAAAATTGAATTTAAAATTTCAATCACATAGAACTGCAATGCAGATAAACAGTCTCCTTCTCTTCAACTTCTTACCTACAAAGTCTACCTTCCATCACTTTTGGTCTCATGTTTTGCGCGTGAGAGTGGGAGTGATAACACTCCATTTTAAAGAAAGAGCTGCATATTTTTCAGCTTGATGTCACAGAAGGAAAATGCTGCTGTGCTGTTAGATTTTGAAAGTGTAAGCAATTGTCAAAAAGACCGTCCTCAATGGTTATCCGTTATAAATGCTGGTGACCATTAAATTAAAAAGGAACTTTGGAATGTTGCAGCCTGATTTATTTGAGTAGTCACAGCAGAATCCAGCAAAACACCAAGCAAAGGGCATAGAATATAAACAGTATCATGTCACTCCCAGTGACTGCTTGAGGGTGTCATTTGTTCTACTGATGTATTGCAAATAAAAAAGAGAAAGGAAAATTAGGACCACATTACGAGTGAAAAATAGTTGCAAATGTGAGGAGAAATATTTTGGAAAATATTTTGCACAGTTAATACAAGTGTTTTAAAAGTCCTGATTATCATGTCTCTCATGAGTTAACAGGCACACAAGTTCTCAGACATGCTCATTTACTTTAAGCAATGGCTCCGGTAACACTGAATGGTGCCATGCCATATTCTGTATGAGCTGGAAGTGGAGTTGCTTTGAATGGTTTACACTGCATCAGGGGGAAGGCCAGATTAAATGCTGCAAACAGAGAATGGTGCCACTGAAGTTAAGGCACAGGGATCTAAATTCTTTACTGAAATCATTCACAAAACTGAAGGGCAGGCACAGAGGTTCCATCATGCTGGAGCAGAGTCAAAACATTTGGCCTCATGCTAAGATAGTACGACAGGAAAACCCTACTGCTGTTAGTGACGGTCTCGTGTAGTCTCACAAAGAAGGAAGGCAGAGCTCCTGGCACCTTCTCATTTAGTAGTGTGACAAGGGGCAGATGCAACTTAAAAGTTCAAGTATTTATGTTTCAGTTCACTTCTCCTTGTTAACTTACTTTTCTGGTTTTAGATCCCTGTAAATAATTCCGAGACCATGGAGGTGGTCTAATGCCAAGGCCAGCTCAGCTAAGTAGAATTTGACATCCTCTTCTGTAAACATCACCTAGAGAGAAGGAAGAGAAGACCACATCTATTTATTGGACAGTGGTGGGCTGGCTTGCCTTAAACAGACACAGAGAAGGAATTTTCTAAGCTGGGAATGCTGGAAGGACCACCATATCAGGTTCAATTGTCCATAATTTTTCTGAATTGATATTAACAATTCTTACCAGATTCTCCCTATAAAACAAAACTTGATCTGTTGAGCACCTCTATTCCTTAAAATATGCTGCTCTCATTCATCTGTTTGATCTGTTTAGATGACATTATGTCACAATATTAGCAATAAATTATAACTCCTTAGCCTTTGGAAATGAACAGCAAAATTAAACACATTCAGTGCAGCCCATATTGCTTTCATATCCCTTAACTTGCTACAGTCTTGGCATTTGGTTACCAAATTCCCCTTAAATAGCATAGGAAACCTTTTTGGGGAATGGAATACTTCCAAGTTGGAGCAGAATACACAGCATGAAGAGAATCAGAGGTGGATTTAAAACTCATGCCTTGGAGGCCCAAGGAAAATCAGTGCAGATGCCATAAGCAGTGATGTGCTGTCTAACATTTGGGGCCTGATGAGGTGCCAGCTGAAGGCAGTGTTTTCTGCAGCTGATATGGACACTGCTAACACTGAAAGCTGTGTTTTAGGTGAGAAGAAACTTCTGTAATCAAAAAACCAATAAACTCTGAAAAAGTCAGATGGCAGGAAACCCCTCTGGTTCAACTTCCATTGTATCTGAGATGTTCTCTTTAAATTTCTATATGCACAGAGATAATAACGCAGAAAAGAAGCTGATATATTGGCTACAGAAGTGTGATTATGCATGACAGAAGTAAAATGAGTCAGCTGAATAAAAATTTACTTGTCATATGTAAATGTAAATTCTACAGTAGAAGTTGTAGGGCTTAATTTTAAAATTAGGTCTCTGCTCTCAAAAAGGGATAGCCAAAATATCTGAGTGCTTTCAGAAGTTCCAGACAGCTGAGAAAAAAAAAGAGATTATTCAGAGCACAGATGTCACATAATTTAATTAAGAATTTTACTGCAAAGGCTAGAAACAAAAACGCAAAAGCAAAAACTCTCAAATTTAATTGTACTGAATGTAAAAATGACATTAATTTTAAAAGAAATTTAAATTATTTATAAGATTTAAAATAAATAATGTAGGCAAGAAATTAAATCAATAGAATCCAGGAAATTTCTCATCTATACAGATACACCTAGTTAGTCAGATGTCTCAAAAAGACAGAGCAAGAAATAGGCAAGCTCTGCATACATGCACACAATATATGTCTATGGGATCTGACTGAAAGTCCACTGAAATCAATACCTTTCAACCAAATCTCTAACTACAAATTGCAAAAAGTTCAAGCTCTCCCAGAACTTCTTCTCTTGCAATACCTTGCCCTAAAGAGCTGCAAAGTATAGGCAGGCAAGGTGAGCTGCTAACACTGAAAAAAGAGAAGTATGTTTTTACCATCAGCTTAATGTGTCATTAACAATGGTATACAGCACAGGAGTTGGTGAATTGCCCTGGACAAGCTTTGGGGAAAACATGAAGCTTTTAAAGAAGTACAAAGTCTGAGCTGTTAACTTCCACTTTTGAGTTCCCTGGTTGTGCGGAACAGGGACCTGCCCTCTTAGGCAAGGGCCACATTTTCTGTCTTCTTCCATGAAACCAGAGAGGCCCTTGCTGAGACAGCAGCGCTGCCTCGCTAATAAAGCTTGGTCTCATGACAACAGCAGAAGGACATTTTAAATTAAATTTTTTGAAATATTTTTCCTCATATTAAAAATAATTGCTACCAGGGACTGAATATTTATATAAGGATCATTACATAGCAGTGTAATTAACTTGTTACCAATGTCTTCTTGCATTAGCAAATAAGCCTTAAAAGCAAATGCTTGGGGTCCCAAGTTGCAGTGCACACAGCATCCTGCAGCATGCCACTGAATCAGGAATTGAATGGGGGTTGGGGAGAGCTGGGGAATTTTGACTGAAAATACTATTTTCACAGCTCTTTTAGTCCATCAGTAGCTCCCCAAACCCAAGAAGAGCAACAGAGCTTCCCCTCAAGATGGCATTTGAAAGGTTCCTGTCGTTAAACACTCTGTGCTAAGTGGTTGCCTGCATCCCTGTTCCCACACCCTTAGAAGTACCAAGGGCTGGGGACGTCATGTTGGTGACAGAAAACACCAGGGCACAGACAACTGCAGAGCAGTTGCATGCTGCCTCACTAGAGCCTCCTGCATTCCTGCAAGGACCTCACTGGGACTGCTGGTTCACAGAGCTTTGGAGATACAGGAAAGAGCTAAATGAACCTAGAAAACCTACTGTGACTGCTCTGTTTGGGCATCAGTGAGAACTTGGGACATTCCCTGCCTGCAGCAGTCCCTCTCCAGGGGCAAGGCATGCAGAGGACAGGCGAGGCATGAGAGCTTGGGGAGGGCATGGAAGCAGCAGCTGCTCCTGGCAGGCATGAGGAGGGCAGGTGAGGATTGTGATAGTTAATCTCCCATGTCTGGGCTGGTGCATGGCCCTTAACCTGCTCCCAGCAGCTGCAGAGGTTGGTCCTGACCCATGGTCATCTCTTCCCTCTGCTGGCAATATGTTTTTCCAGTGGTTCTGTGCTCATCCCTAGGGGAAAATGTATTGGGGATTGATTTCTCAGACTGTTTCTCATCACATCAAGGACTTACTCTGAAAGCATCGAGTCTGGGGCTATTTTGATAGGGAACGGCTTAGCAGTGGAGCAGTTTTCTCTGGCAGTGATGCCTGCATTACCTCTGGCATAATTCAAATACAGTTGTTAAGAATCCACTTAACCATGCAAGATGAGATAGCTCCATTACATATCTAGATGACTATTCCCAAGGCCATTTTTCATTCCCATGAACTCAATTTGAGTTCTGAAAATCCAAGACAGTTTTTCATTTCTGAGTTAAAGATGTATCAGCTTACCTCTTTGGAGAGTCTGGTGAAAAGGTCACCTCCCCGCAGGAAATCTAGTATTAGGTACAACTTTCCCTCTGTTTGAAATGCTGCATTAGAAAAGGATGAAGATGTCGGAAGTTTGAATCAAGATAAAATCCCCAACGAGTAAGTCCTGTTGACTAGCAGTGTATCATTCACACCATTGCTGTATCATTTATGCCATTGCATCACTGTTACTTCAAAACTTTGAGAACCAAAAAAAACCCCATTTCTGTATAGAACTTAGCAATTGAGCTTTGGCTATGGGAAAAAATAGTGTCAGTTGAGAGACAAAAGTGCATTACTAATAAATTCAGTTCTGTGTTAAGCACTTATGAATTAGCAGCGTTTCCCACTCCACAAAGTATCAGGAGTCAGAGTGAGGCATAGAGAGAGGTTTCCATATTTGTGTGAGAGAAGAGCCCACATATCCAAATGCCCTCAGGATACCTGTCATAGTAGTAATGGTAGTAGTAATGGGGCTGGCGTGGTAGGAGGTAATTCCAGCAAGACACCACATTCATGTACACACCTATACAAATTTAGACTGGTACTGATTATTATAACCTGCTTTTATTTAAATTCTCTGTCCTTCTAAAGGATACCTGACAGTGGGTGAGGGTTTGGCAGATGTAAACTCAGCAGCTACCCTACCAGCACTACCTACCACATCAGACTTCATGACAAATTTATTTTAATGGAGGAATGGCTGAAACTTACAAGTACTGGATGTCTCCTTCAGCATAAATGAAGAATTTCACACAGGCAGCCTCTATGACTTTATTAGCAACAGAGTCATAAGTAGGCAGGGGGCATCTGCACGGAAGTGTAACACACCTAGTTACAATCCCCCACCCAATTTAAGAACAAACATTAATTATATTTTGTTACAGTTACCATAATGAAGCTTGACTATGAAAGGATGGTTCACTTCTGCCAAAATATCTCTCTCCATTTTAGATCGTACCCGATCCCGAACTATAAAGAAAGAACAATAAGAACAGTGACATTAAGACGCAGCATGGTCACTGGATACAGTACTGGAATAAGGTTGAGGCAGTCTGGATTGTGATTCTCACTCTGCTGATGGCTTGTATGACCTTAGGTAAATCAGACCACTTAAGTGTCCTCTATTTCTGACTGTCTAGTCCATGTAGCAAGTTCTCTAGGAAGGTCCTGTGTCTTTCCCTATAGAGAACTGCCCCAACTAAAATGACTACAGTATTGCAAACAACAAGAAGGCAATTACACTTCACAGAAGAGAATGTTAATGTGAAAATGAAAACTACACAAAATTAATTACTTTACTTCATTTAAGATGAAACAGAATATACCAGTCCTAGAGCAAGTTGGATTAATCCAACTTGTTCCAATTAATTTATTGTATTTTGCTGATGCTAGCAGCATTTATGACATATCATTGAACAGCACTTTCTGGAAGTGATGTATATATGCAATATACAAAACTTCCAATAAACCACCACCCAAACAATCAGTAACAAAGAAAAATTCCAAATAAAAATAGTAACTAATTATTTTTATGTGTAGAGATAACTTTATTGAGTGATAGCAGAGAGAAAAATACTTTTTGTGGTTGAGATGAATAGAGAGTAAGGGAAATCATAATTTCAGAGGTGAGCTGAATTGCAGATAAACAAAACTAATGCTGAAGATTTCATACCAAAGCCATTAAGCAGAATATTTAGACACTAAGGAGGATTCAAGTCCTCATGTTACCAAGTCTTGATCCTAAAGATGCACTTGCATTTTTCAGTCAATCGCTACTTCACTGAAAAGCACTGACATTTTCTTTTTTCTCTTCACAATGCCAGTATGCTTTTCAGATGAAAGCATCAACAAGACATATTATGAAACGATTTTAGGTAGCAAAGCCTGAGATCTGTCAGACTCTGTCATTGCAGGCATGTGCTGTGGAGCTGCTCAGAAGCTGAGTACTCTCAGCACCCAAGTAAGGAACATACATAACAAAACCACCGTCTACTGTACTTCAAAAATTGGTGCACAGAAATAGGTCCAAACCAGCTGATCTGAAAACCTTAGATAGCACAGGTGACATACTTGGGTTTCTTGCTAGTTTAATGCTTAACTTAGGCCAATAATGGCATAAGGTTTACTACCTCATTCAAGCTACCTTGTAGAATAAATTCAAAACAGAGGGAATTGTGGAATTGTAATCTCATCTCACAAGTAAAAATCACACATCCTACACTCACAAAATGCTTACTATGTGAAGACAGACTGTTTCTTGTGCTGTCCATCAGGGATGATCCCAGATGGGAATTCCCGTTGGATAGGTGGGCATTGCTGGACCCTCTACATATTACATTTCCCATTAAGCTTCGTTGGGTAGCCTAAGGAAGTAGCTCTCTGCATTTGCACTGCACAGTTGAGACAGGCTGTCAGAACAGCAGCACACCCTCTTCCACCCATCATTTTAACCTCTCAACAGGCAAAGGCCGTGCTGTGCAGCCCAGTGCTTTGCCAAAACCCTATGCCCTGCTTGCTGCTGTGGTTGTTACTGGATGTGGACACAAGCCACCCTTCTCCCCACATGCACACAAGAGGCACATCAGACTTAAAGAGAAGGCGATATCACCACAGAAGACATCTCACTCTCCAGTCATAGCCCCTGAACCTGTAGCTGCTGCATTATGGGGTTACATTTCCTTTTGCAAACCTTTCTTTAGGGAGCAGAAGTCAGGCTTGTGAAGCTGGAGGCTCAGCAGCCCCAAAGACTGTCCTTGTCTGGGCACTGCTGTCCTCATACAGCCTGGGCCTGCCCAGGCACCATTTGGTGGCAAGAGCACTAATGAGGGTGCGTGGCAGTGCGATGGGCTCTGCTCTGCTCCCTGGGCTGAGACCTCCCTGGTGACCCACCATGCTTCCCTTGGGGCCAGCTGGGTCCTGCAAGGGTATGGATGCTCTAAATTAGTGCTCCCGTGGCAGATACCATTTTCCACTTAGAGCTTTCCTCTTTAAAATCTCATTTAGAGAAAGATACAGTGAGACAGTGTATATTACAGACCTCTTAATGGACTGCCTTAGCCAAGAACACTGGGTTGCAAAGCAAATGTGATAAACAGCAAAGCTCCAGCGTGAATATCTGCTGACTGAATTGAGGTACAGCAGCTTGGACCCTCCCCAGAGTCCTCTGGAGGTGGCTCAGGACAGCACCTGGTGATTTGGTTGCCTCTCTGAGTGGGTCAGCCTCTCTCCAGTAATTTTGGAAACTGTCTTCTTAATGTCACCAGGCTGAAACTGGTGTTTGAAAGTTTAAATTTTTTTAAACTACGAAATGGGTTGTCAGGTAATAGGTTTGCTGTCAGTGACTTTTTCCTCAATGGTTTTTTGTCCTTTTTGACAATTTTAACCAAAGTGCTGCTGGATCTCCTGACCTGAAACATCAGGGAGAGAAATCCCCCAAATGTGTGACAAAAGCATCTGCCTCTTACAGAAAGCTGTGAGTTACAGGAAGATACATGCAGAAAATACACAAATAAGGTAAAAATTTTCACAATCTGCCCAGAGATGTTTGGCAAAAAGCATTATTAATTATAAATTATTTGCTCATCCCTACCTTTCAAAAAGAAATGTCACTGCTTAACCAGGAGTGAAGAATTAATTAATAAAACAAGAATAAGGGGAGCTACAAACGAAGCTAATTAAATCCGCATCAAAAAGTATTGCAGCAGGAGAAATAAATCAGTGAACAAAACGATGGCTTTAAATTTCATCCATTACTCTCCTCACTTCTTTAAAACTCAGTATTTTGCCTCAAGTGGAGCAAAAGCAGAATAGGACTCAGACTTAGGAACTTGCAACTCAATTTCAAATTCTTCACATAGCACAGGAACACAAAAAAGATAATGCAAATAGATATACACATAAAACTCTCTGCAACATCCTTTTCAATTCTATTGCTGTTATTTTAATCTGTTTTTAATACTGTCTGTTGTAGGCAAAAGTAGAGAGCTAAATTCTAAATTCAAATCCACACTGCCTATGTCCAGAAGACAAAGTACGTGTGTGGTGCCTAATTACCTGAGATATGGAGTAATACAGGCTTTCTAATAGTGATCATAGTCTCGCCTCAATGCTTCTGCATGGAAATACTATTTGCTTTACTGTGTTCTTGTTCCACAAGAACTAAACTCAAATCCTCTAAAGAGCAGCCTTTCATGTTGCACCTTCATTAGCAGAGCATTATTACAACACAAAGAAAAAACAGAAAAGTATCCTGCTGACACACTCAATGCAGAAACATACCAATAATGTCACACAAAGCACTTCATGTGCTTTTCCTTTGAAATGTGCATCATTCTGTGAAGGTGATTTTTTTGGAAGGAAGTTCCTCTGTGGCCTGAAATATGGAACCTTTTAGAGATGGGGAAAGAGCCATTATATCACAGCTTCACCACTCAGCCCGATGCTTCTGCAGCAAAGGTAGAAAAACAGAGGGGGATCTACAGAGCGGGAGACACTCCTTTGTAGAAGGGTACTCTGAGAAATCAGTAAGAATGCAGACTGTGTTTTAGGAGTCCAGAGTCTGGGGGAGGTAATTTTATCTCCCCCCCTCCTTTTTTCCTTTTTTTTTTTTTCACTTTTACATGAAACAACACATTTGGCTTTAAAGAAATCAAACAGTTGCCTCTGTTTGTTGTATTTTAAAGTAGACTTGATGCTCAAATGTTGAGATTTGGAATGACAGATGTCTCTAAATCAATACTACACTTTAGTATTGTACTTCCATTTCTAGTCTTTATCACCTATTCATATTCTCTCTCTTTGTAAAAGTTAATTAAATCTTGCAATATCCCTCTGAAGTACCTTTGCTCAATTTTCCAACAAAGAAAATTAAAGAACAGATTGAAGAAGTCTGATGCTACAGAAAAAAAAAAATACCAACAAAAAAACCAAAAAAACCATATGGGACTTGTCAGGCGCATACATGGCTTCTGGGACATACAAAAAAAAAGAAATGCTGAAAAGAAATGCTCAGAGATTTACTCCTCATAGCCTTGATCAGCAAGGAACAGCCTGGTGAGCTGAGGGTTCTGTACAGTCGCCTCCTTCCTATCCCATGGAGCCTCTGGCAGCTGCAATCTCCTGCTATTTTCTCACTGGGACATCAACTTGGATCTCTCTTCTTGATCAAAAAAAATCCACAGATGCTGCAGGAGATTAAGTGTGTTTTAGATTTTTGGCTGAAATTAGCTGTTGGGCTCAACCCCGTCATTAGAGAAATACTGACTGACAGACCAGCCAAATGATCACATAAATCTCATGCCCTTATGCAGAGGTGAAATTTCAATTTTTGTGTATTTTTAAGTAAAACTAGACCACTGAAAATCCACAGATTTGTTTATGCATAGCTCCCAGGTGAAACTGTTTCCCACCAAGGTCTGTGAGCTGCAGATGTGAAACGGTATCCAATAAGTCAAATCCTATGGTGATGTACATCACCAGCAAAGTCAGAATTACACCCCTTACAGCTGCATAAACAAGTTCTAACTAAATTTATTAAAACCAGACTAAATAAACAGTTTGATGAAGAGAAAAGAAAGCTGCCATCTGCTAGAAGGGTATTTCCTCTAAAGATCCAAAACCTACAGCTGGAAATACATCTGTTCACAACTTGTGCAAAACTGAAAATCTTCAACACCTCTGCAGAGTTGCACCTGGAACTTTTTTTTTTTTTAATAGAAATCATATGTTTGATTTAAATTTATTTACCTTGGTCTATGTGATATCCTGTGAAATCATCAATAAAATATTTGTTTCTTGAATTTGAGTGTACCATGCTCCTATACTTCGTTTGCTTCAGTTGTACTGAAGTGGGACTTATAACTGTTTTTTATTATTATTACTACTATTGCAGGAAATAACAATTTCAGTAAGTGCCTCTTACTTACAGGCAATAATTACCTATGGTCTAGGAATAGGCAAAATTTCAAAAT